AGCACTTGACCAGGAGTTAGAGTCACAATCACTGGATTCCATTCAACCAATCAGTCCAATTTAACAGATATTTATTGAGCATCATCAGTGTTCTAAGCACTAAAAATGATAAGGGGGGAAAAGGCACTTTAGAATCTTACCTTCAAGTGTAAGAAAAAGCAAGCACAGGAACAAATGTAATAAAGTGTTGCAGGTGCTTTGGCAGATTTCTGGACAAGGTCAGTGATGCATGACAACCACTCGGGGCCTTGTTTTCTGTAAGTTTAAAATAAGTAACTGGGAACAAACTACATATGGAATCTGACGTCTTTTACATGCATGACCATGGGATTCCGTCACTCCGGGCCTTTGACTTGAGATCACAGAGGAGAGCCACTGGAAATGGACATGAGAACATGCAAGTACAAGGACTGGACTCGGCATGTGCCTCTGTGATTTTTTTGAAGTTGAGAAGAGTTTGTCATTACAGTCAGAAGGGCAGGAATAAAACAATTAATACAATGTATGGTTGCCAAGGAACAGAATCAGGAAATAGCATCTTCAGCCTTTCCACAACACCCATTCTGCTCCACGACTCACATAAAACTGGGCTCTCCCCTGATAGCAAAAGCCCTGTCCCACTGGAGGCCTCCTATCTTCCGACTCCACCCTCAAGCCATTTTCTGAAACCAAGGGGAAGGGTTGATAAACTTTCCATGTAGAACAGTAAGAAGAACAAAACTGTAGGCAGTAGACACTTCTTGGACTCGCAGATAATTAGCATTAATACCTTGTTATATATTCTTTTGGGCATTATGTATCTATTTCTATAATGTAACTAATCTATTTATATATTTGATATATACATACATACATATTCTATAAGTATTTCTATTTATGTCTGTTGACACTTTATTCTTTGTAAGTGAAATGGCTTTCACTTTATACACTTAATTTTTAAAGCATTTTTATTTTAATATTAAGTGAGTTTAGTATGCTTCCTTTCCTCTGCACCATCCCACAGCCACCAGACTCCTTCCAGGCCGTTGTTCTTTGCCCTACTGCGTCATCGTTCCCTCCTTTAAGCCCATGCTCTTTCCTGTCTACCACTCTCTCTGTGCTTCCTACCTACCTGTCTCCAGGGTACTGCTTGCTTAAAGACTTTCACGGCTTGCTCTCAGATCCCCATTCCCACCTATGAGCATCTCCAGTCTCAACTCCATCCATAAACATCCAGGGAGGCACTATGATAGAAAGAGTATGAGTTTTTTTAGTTAAAAATGATTTAGGGTCCAATTAGCCGTGTAACCTAAGCAAGTCGCTTAATCTCTCGAAATCCTAAATTTCTCATCTTAAAAGCACCAGAGTAATAAAATAGCCATTTTATGGCACATTTCATATGTAGTCGACATTCATACTTTTGTTAACTTTTGAGAATGACTGTGATAGAGATTAGAAGTAATGTATCTACAATGATTGTTAAAACTCTTTACAAATAATTGGAAATTAAAATGAAACAACAGTCATTATTTCTGACAGCTTGACCTTAAACAATTCTAGAATTAAGGTTCTGGCCCAATAACCATGACTGACTTCTATTCACCTCTTTCACGAACACAACTGCGTTTCCTCTAGGTGCGGGAGATCAGCACTGGCCGATGTCGGAAGTCTTTGGGAGCTTTAAAAGCATACTGGCGCTGGGTTTTGTCCTGAGATTTAGATTTAATTTCTCTGAGGTGGAGCATGGCATTAGGATATTTTTACAGCTCTAAGATGTTAAACTAAATCAATCCTCTTGCTTCACTTGTCCAGCTCTTCCCCCCACCCCCCTCCTCCTCTGCCTTCTCTCCCTTGCTGAAACCCATCTGGATCCCTGCCGTCATTAACTCTCCCGTGTTCTTGCAGCCTGCTTCTTGCATCAGACACCACCTTGTCCAGCCAGAATCCCAGAGTTAACTATGCATACCAAACTTTTCACCACCAATTCTAATAAAATGATTAACGTTTGCTTGCCACTTTCATGGTTTATGGATACTTTTCTTAAAGTTACTGATTCAAAGAGTCCTTGACAGATTTCTGTTTCTTTGTGACATTACATTTTCAGACCCATTAGTCAATCCTCAACCAACTACCAGTTCAATGCTTTTTCTCATCTTCTCCTATCAAGAATCAGGTTAAATTCATAATACTCTTCTGGAAGAAAGAAAAATGACCGAATTGAGACATTAAAACTTTTAGTCCCCCATCTCACATTTAGAATCTATAACTTATTTTTTAGAATCTACTCTTTAACCCAGGGGGCTAAATGTGAGCCAGTGGGGTATCTCTCACTGATGACTTAGGGCAGTGTAGTGTTTTATTTCACTGTGTATTATTGGAATTTGAGTATATGTAGATGGACTAAGAACTTTCTAGTTTAGGTTAGGCTCCAAGTTTTCTTACTGTATTTGTAGTAGGCCACATACATTTACCTATCAGAGAGGTTTGAGACTAAAGATGGACTTTAAATGTGGTGTTATTTTCAGTTAGGTTTTGTAAGCTTTTAAGGCTTGAGGGCCAAGCCATTATTCTGGTTTGTCTTGAGTATACTTAGCTCATATCCAACCATTTGTTAAATTGATGCTGTTGGATAATCGTTGGACAGCAGGACTGAAAGGGTGTTGGGAGGCAAATAGGATAGTCACTTCAGGAAGCAAACATAAGAATCTGAGTATGTTCATCTTAAGATTAAACTGAAGAACTACGGAAAAGAAAAATGTTTTCTCAGGAGTTTTGTTCAGGCAAAAATTAGGTTATAATAGCAATATAATTAGACTATGAAACAAAAATGGTCAAAAGGAAGTGCAAGTTGCTGGATGGAATCACGTGTGTTTGGCTGTCTGGGGTCTCGGGAGAGCCATCTACATCAGGTGCCACCTGCTCCGATCCAGGAGTGGGAATTCTAGTGTGGTGTTGGGTTGTTTAGAGATTTTCAGTTTCAGATCTCTAAGAGGCTGAGATGACCACTCAGGAGTGGATGTCCTTTTTAAATGAGAAACATGAGTACCCTTCCATGTAGTGCCACAAGGGTGGAGGGTGAGTTAGTAATACCCAATGTGGCCCTTTCCATCAGGACTGGAGGGCACCTTTACAGAGATGGCATTTCCAAAAGACAACATCTCCAGTTTGGAGATCATGATGTAGGATCTCCATCTCCTGGATTCTGTAATGGAAAGATTCCTGCAGGAACTTGGAGTTAGTCTGAAGGGCCCTATAGGTTCTTTACAGTAAATCAGGAGGTCTCCTTTCAGGGGTGCAAGTTCATACATTCCTTGATCTAATCTCATGGGTCTGCTGGTGACACTTTCAAAAGGTGACAGTCTATGTTTGCTGACAAGAGTCCATCTTACGTTGAGCAATGCCAAGGGAAGAAACGTAGGCCCAGGCAGATTAGAGGAATCCACCAGTTTTGCCAAATGAGTTTTGATTACCGGTTTAGCCTGCTCTATGGGACTGGAGGACTGGGGATGACATGCACAAAGGAAGTGTTTCAAAACCAGCCAGATCTTACCAACAGAGTGTGTAATGTGTCCTGTGGTGTGAGTTACCCAGTCACCACAGACTTCTGAAGGGATTCCCCAAATAGGAGAGCTTTTCTAGGAGTCAATTTACTTACGGCTGAGGCTGTGGTTCTGTGGCATGAGAATACTTTCACCCAAGGAGAAAACAGAGAATGTAGTACAAACACATCTTTGTATCCTTGAAGGCCACAACCAAATAAAATTAATTTTCCAGGCCTGAAAGGGGCCTAAACACAAGGGAAAATGCCCAATACAAGTATGAATGGGTTTTCCAGAGCTGTACTCCAGACAAATTTGGCTTTTTATTTATTTTTTTTTTAATTTTTATTTTTGTATACCTGGGAAGCTGTCTTGGAGATAGCTTCAAGCACTATTTGGTGTTTTTTTTCCCTCTGAAACCACTTTGTCCATGTCCCAGTGAGTTCAGCTGTGCACATATCGTAGCATATGATACTGTGTGTGATCTGGAGGAACTGTCGGTCATTCAGACCTACCCGTAAGTTTCTTTTAGGGCCAAATGTACAGCCTTTTTTCTAACCATTTTTTTTTGTTTGATTGAGCAGCTAAATGCTGTGATCCCATAATTTCATGTTTTATGTCCCCAATTACTTCAGCTGGTGGCAGAGATGTCTCCATTAGGGGCCATGATTGTTTTAATGCTGCTAACTTAGCAGCAACAACATCAATCAAGTGATGACCACCACTTTTCTTCGTGATTGGCACCGAACATCCAGGACATTTCATGGTTGCCAAAGATTTGGGTAATTGGATCACCTTGAAGAGTTCTAAAACATAAGAACTTTTTTGAACATTTTTGTGTGAAAGAAGTCAAGAACTTCTCTCTGTTTCCAGAGCTTACTGATGCCATGGGCAACACCAGAGGTGTGCCTGCTGCCAGTATAAATGTGAGCCATCACACCTTTGGCCAGATGGCAAGTTCAGGTCAATGCACAGCACTCGCTTGTTGAGCAAAAGTTGCCTGAGGCATGGTAGCCTCGCTCTTTTCCTCCCACACCCCACCATAGCCCTCTCTGGATCCTGGAGAAGAAGCACCTGGCATTTCTTGTCATTCCCAGAGAAGACTTTATTTAGGTCTTTTAGATGATTTTGAATGTGCATGTACAAATCAAAAGAAACAATAAATAGTTTGCCACTACTGTTGACCTTCCCTTGCAGCATCACTTTGATGGGCCATGCTACCAAAAGTCTGCTTATTTAATCCAATGAAAAAATTTACTTCCCTTCTAGGAATGCACACTGATAGCAGGGTATAGAGATAGGGAGAGCAGAGTGTGAGAAAACAAAATTCCAATTGTATAAATTTACTGTGAATTTAAATAATTTTAATAATTCAATAATATGGTGAAAATGCATCAACCCAAAGAAGAAAAGCAAGGGTGAAAGAGTGTAATGTGGCTGAGTACATTATTATAATAACAATAATGTTATTATCATTTCTAGCTACAGTCTTCCTGGAGTTTTGGAAAAGAAGAAGAAGTACACTGACGTATACTTGGGATCTCATTGAATGGGAAGAGGAGGAGGTAGGATGTTAGGAAAACAGAAGATAAGGAAACTGGGATGACAAATTATGCAGAAAATTGTTCACTGCCCTTGACATATAAATCAAAAGCAGCTAAATGTATTAGATTTTCCCTTGATGTTTTTTTTTACTAACAATACTTTTTATTTAATGAAGATAAAAGAGATCAATGATGAGGTAATATAATTTTTTTTCAAAGCATTTCTATGATGTTTCCTTAAACTACATTAGTGGAAAATTGGTCTGATTAAAATATATAGGTCAGGGTTTCTTTGGAAAGTAATTTGCCTCTTACTTTTTCTTTGCTAAGATTTGATATAAAAATAAGCCAAAAAGCAGGAATTTTGTATCAATTCTTGGGTAATTTTAAAATCTTCTCCCTTTGATATTTAGTAACTTGCAGTTTCTTTCATAGGAAACGCTCCGTCCCCAGTTCGAAGCAAAGTACTACAAGATGGAGAGAGTGAATCCCATCAGTGGAAAACCTGAGCCTCATCAGCCTTCTTCAGACAAAGTCAGCCGTCTCCTTGTCTCTATCTCAGGGATATTCTTCATGGTAAAGCATCGCCATTGCTGTCAGGGTGTTTTGGGATCCCAGGGTTAGAAGGCAGCTCTAGGATAGGTACCAACTTGTTTTGTGATCCTGATGATGCAAGAGACCACATCCTGTTCAATACTTTGGCGCTCCGTACTATTACACAAAATAAAACTCACAGCAGGTCATGGAGTAGTGACCAAGGGAGTTTCTGCGTGCCCTTAGGTAAAACACCCTATGGAAGAAACAAAGATTACCTAAGGTAAAATGGAAATTGCATGAGTCACCCTGATGAATGGGTTATCTTGTTTTAAAGCCAAGTATTCCATTTAAAAGTGGAAATTTAACAAAATTCTCATTTTAGTGTGATAACTTTATCACACTACAACAACTTAAATCTTATACTATTTATTTTGACTGTAATGTAACTTAGTTCCTTAATGGAAAAAAATTAAATGTATCTATACTTTCTTAGAAAAGTAAATTTTTTAGATCTTGGGAGCAGTGTATTAGATCCATGGTTTTGCCTTTGTTTTGTTAATTGTGCAAAATATGGTTACCTCCTCTTGGTCCCCCGAACTGCAGATCTCTTTGGTGATCACTGCAGTGTTTGCAGTCGTGGTGTATCGCCTGGTTGTCATGGAGCAGTTTGCATCATTCAAGTGGAATTTCATCAAACAACACTGGCAGTTTGCAACCTCTGCAGCTGCTGTCTGTATCAATTTTGTAATCATCATGGCCCTGAACCTTGTAAGTGTTTACAGTTTCTCAATAGGTACAAAAGGGAAGAGGTGTCTGTTTCCTTTATACTTAGCTTGTACTTAGAGGAAACCAAAATAAGACCAAGCCATGTCTCTGGCAAGGACAATTGAGTTTAGCAGAAAATACTTTATCCGTGTAGTTCACATGATAGATTCCTTCAAATTAAAATCAGTGAGCCCTGGCTGGTGTGGCTCAGTGAATTGAGTGCCACCCTGCAAACCAAAGGGTCTCAGGTTTGATTCCCAGTCAGGGAACATGCCTGGGTTGTGGGCCAGATCCCCAGTAGGGGGTGCATACAAGTGAACCACACGTTGATGTTTCTCTCCCTTTCTTTCTTTGTCCCCCTTTTTCTAAAATAAATAAATAAATAAATAAAATCTTTAACTAAAATAAAATAAAATAAATGATTGTTGTATAAGGGGGGACCTCCCCTGAAAAACCCAGAATTACCTTCTGGAGGGTGGGCCCTTTGTAGTACAGGCTTCCCCTCAGTAGGTGAGTGTTCTAGGAACCCATCTGTGTCAGTGTGCCAGCTGGCATTGTCAGAGGTTGTGTGTGGCTTCAGTGAATTTTTTTGAAGACTCTTTCAATGTGTGTGCCCATTGCATGGTGGGTGATTTACAAGCACTTATGCCCACAGTGCACTGAGTGTTCAGCAATTTTTGACCAAAAAACACAGCATGACCTGGCATGACCCTCCATGTCCCATGCTCCCTATTAACCCAAACCCTCCCTGAGCAGCTTTTTTTTGTTTCCCAGTGAAAAAGGTCCTCAAAGGGAAACATTTTGCCCATGTGGAAGAGGTAAAACAAAAAACTACAGAAACACTAAAAGGCATCAAAATTGAAGAATTCAAAAACTGTTTTGATCGGTGTAAAAAATGTCTCAACAGGTGTAATTGCATCAAATGGAGAGTATTTGGAAGGTGACTGAAGTTTAAAAATATAGGAATAAATACACAATTTTTTATAAATAAGTTTTGGTTTTTTGGTCTCCCTTCATATTGTTAAAATTCCTTTCCCTTTGAGTTTACAGTTTGATTAGTGATAACTTCATTCATAAATGTCCAGTGTGTGCTAGAAAGCACTATATTCCTTTCATTCAAGTAAAAGATTGCTTGGATTAGAAAACCATTCCCTACAAACTCTAAGTCACAGGTGAATTTGGTGGAAAGATGTAGGAAAATCTGAAAGTGAAGGACTTTTATCACCAGGGCCTCAGGTGAAATAGAATGCAGTCAGACAACCACTCCATTTTTCTTTCCCTGGGACTAAGCAAAAGAAAAATTTTCTTCCCTTCCACTTCCCTCCCTTTCCCCCTCCCCCACCTCTTTCTTTCTGTCTGCCTTCCGTTCTTCCTCCTGTGTCAGTGCTTCTGTTTGCCCATCTACTCCGTCCTATCAGGAAGATGACCGTCTGTGCCTAACCGTGACCTGTTTTCCTCGTCTCGTGCTATGTGCTGCGGCACTTCTGTTTGTGCTCTATTCTTTGGCTCTAACTACAAAACCATACTGGTCAGCTTTCTATAGTTCATTTCACATGGATCATCCAGTTATTTCAGTGTGCTCATTTCTCAACAACAGCATCCAATTGGTTTTACCATTGCACACAGCGTGTGCCTCGTGAACCTACGGCTGAGCGGGCAGCATCAGGCCTGGGCCTACCTACCCCTTCAGCAAGGTCTATGGATGAGGGTCTGTTTTCTCTGGGTTTGAAGGGAAGAGACAGTGATTGGCACCTTTAGGATAATATCTTTAATTCTCCCAACAACACCACAGGCCAGTATTCTCTCCATTATGTAAATGAGGGAACTAAAATTGGAAAAGCTTAAATACCTTACCCCAAATTATACATATAGTGTTAGTGCTGATATATTGACATCATGAGATAATTTATTGTAGATAGATTAGCAGCACTCAAATAATGATGTTGATATTTATATCTAAGTCATAAACATTTAGTTCCGAATGTCAGTTGACACTAATGTCACATGCTTAGCCTGGAGAGATTTAGGGCCATTTGCTATTAAACGTTGAACTAATCAGGAAGGCCTTGACAAAAAAGTGAATGGTCACTTGTAATCAATGAGTAAGTTTTAATGCAAGGATGATAGTTAATAATATTTTCTACTGGAGTCTGCTTTCTTCAGGTTCATTTTAATTTGTAGAAGGAGAATATTGATTATAGTATCTTCAAACAAGCCATATACTATTTTAACTTATGCCCTTGGCTTATGGATTAAACTGAATAATAAGCACTGAAAAAAATACAGTACTAAGAAAGGGAGGCTTAGAGGGTAGTATAGGTTGTGCATTGCACAAAGTCACCACATTGAAGGAGAGCCATTCATCCCACAGTCATTGTAGTTTTTTTTAACACTTATGATAATACTCTTATGGTAGATAGTGAAAGGTCTTATTTCTAACAAAATCAGTATATCATGACAGTTTTCCAGTGGACAGAGGTTATTGTGGGTAGCCCCATTTTCTGAGGAAAAGGAGGCTAAGTATTTGATGCGTTTATTTCTAGGTAACAGTAGCAGTCAGCCAGCCTGACCTTGAATTGAATTCCTTTCTTACCCTTAGTAAGTGGGCTGACATCAGAATGACTGGTCATAGTGCCGCTCTCCATTAGCTTATCAACCAGCGGGAAAATAAGACTCAAGGCACAATGGGGACTGCCGCATAGTTGCAGCACGAGAAAAACCTGAGTAAGATGAGAAAGAAGCCATCAGCTGCATCCGAAATGAGGTGGTGGGATTGCGGTAGTGGATCAGAGGGCTCACAGGGAAGAAAAGAGGGTGCTCACTCCGATGAGCCCAGAAAGAGCAGGTAGCGGATTACCATTTGAAGAATTCAACCTGCAGGTGGACAGAGACACGGAAGCGCATGTTGTCTGTCTTGAGGAGATTGAAGGAAGTGTCTGCGAAACGTACATTTATGAAAGATTGAAGAAAATGAGATTAGAAGAGGAGGTCAGTGCCTAGCTGTGGCGATCTGGAGTAGCACGTAATATGAAGAATTTAAGCCTCATCTCCCCCCCTCCTTGGGCAGTGGGGAGCCATCCAGGCGGGTACTTGATTAGCCACCAGTCAATTTAGCAGATACATTTACCGATGTAAAAGGCATCACAATATTAGAATATATTACAATGTAGTTGCAATGCTAATAAATTTCTACTCTCAAGAAAAAAAAACTCTAGGGAAAAACTAAATGGTCCTCATCTAAGGACCTTATAAAATGAGATGTTCTTTTTTCACTTTTAAATAAAAGATGTTTTCCTGTGTGCTAATTAATTCAGAATTTAGACAAAGATTTAATGCTTTTTGAGCAAACATAAACCTGATTTTAAAAATGTATGTGACAAAGATAGTATCAAGAATCAAACTAAAGAGCAATTATAGCCACCCAGATAAAAATTGCAAGTATATATCAAAATGTTATCAGAAGAGACCACTGAAAAGTATAGGTGATTTTTATTTTCATAACATCTTATCTAATGTTAAATGTATATTTGTATTTTCTAGATTTTCTATGATAAACTTATGTGGCATTTAAAACTAGGAAAAGACAATGCTTGATATTAATTTCCAATATTCTAGTTTAAAGAAATCATCAAAACTGGTAGTCCAGGATTTATGTAGAGGATTCTTATCATAATATTATTTGAGAGCAAAAATAGGAAAGAGACTCCCTAAATGACCAAAAACACAAAAAATACATTAATTCACATTCTATGGAGTATCATAAAACCAACTAAAATGCTATTTTAACATTATTTTTAGGGCATGCAGTTACATAAAAATTATATATAATTGCCCTTGATTCCCACTGGAACACATCTACATTTTGAGACAATAAGGAATGAGAAGAAAATGTTAAAGGTGGTTATCTCTCAGTAGTGGGATAATATTTGACTTAATATAATATTTTCTGTTTATTTAAATATTTACCCCTATAGGTAGGTTTTGATTTATAATTAGAAAAAAGTAACCTTTATTTTTAAAACATTCTAGCATTTTGTAAAATTTGGAATAAATTAGAAATGGAATGTGCTTTGCTTTTACTTTATGTATAAGTCACCCATAAACCCACAGCCACGAGGTAGCAACTGTGGATAACTTTTGAAATTCTGTTTTTCACCCAGTAAAGAAAAGGCTTATCAGTAGCTAGCAACATTCAAACACACACACGTTCCTCTGTTCTGTCTCTCCCTGTCTCTGCCCAGCTCCCTGAGCGCTGCCCCGGCTCTCCTAGGTGTGTGTTGCCAGTTTCTCAGAAATGTGCCTGCCAAAAAGGCAGTGAGTGGGCCTTGGACACAGAGGCAAAGCAGAGATTTGCTACCTGTGTGATCCTTGCCATCTCTTGTAACATCTTGGAACTTCAGTTCAGATCTGCTTCTGGTGCATAGAAGGCATTTGGTAAATCTTAACTTTCTTCCAATTTGCTCTCTGTGAAAAGAGAAGCACATATACGTTGTCAACATATAGTCTGTCTTTTTTTTATCAAATGTATGTCTAAAACACAAGAAAATTTGAAATTTCTATTGGTTCATATAGAAATCCTGGCCACTATACTAATGTCTAGTATTCCTCCTCGTTCATTTTTAATGTCTTAATTTTGTCTTCTCCTTTTTCAAGTCTATGATCTTCATCAGTTTTGAACTTTCAGTTACAGAATATATATTGTTGATGGTATAACGACGTTAAAAATATTAAGAAAAGTCATTTGACTCAACCTCAGATGCCGCTCACCCCCATTCCTACCATAAACTAAGTGTACCCATTAAAAGTAATCAATGTTAATGGCTTCATGCCTATTTATTCCCCACCCACCCATCATTTATTATTGCCCTCAAGAGAGTACCCTGTGTTCCTGTGTTTGGCAGTTTGTTCCAAAGACCTACTTATCTTTGAAAATTCTTGAGTGAATTAATGAACTTGCCTAATATTTTTGAAGAAATAAGAACACGAAGAGGCCGAATGTGGTTAATTAACTTTTGCTTGGGAAGGCAAGCATGACTGCTCTGGGAACAGGACCTCCAGGTCCAGGGTTCAAACCTCAGGTTTTAACCCAAGTTCTTTTCAGCTAAACTGAAGAACTTGTGATCAAATTTACATTTGAAAAAAAAAAAAGAGCTTTTATCCTCAAACCTTCTCCATATAAAAAGCACTCATATTGCAAAAATTGAAATCTGGCTAAGGTTTCCATTGGTAAACCTTCCACAGACCCCACAAAACTGCCTTGTCAATATGATACCTTTTACACACATACAGTTGGATGTATTTACATGATGGTTCTTCCTGGACTATGGTGATTCTGGAGTTGACAAGTCACTCTGCAAGGACAGATTTTGTGGCTCATCATCATGTCTGTGCCAGTCGGCTAGCATCAGGGCCTGAGATGATGCAGGCTCCAAAGTACCCCAGAAAGCTTCGCAAGAGCACTACTTCCAGAGGTGGATGATCTTCCTTTGTGATTTATAACTTTCTTCCAAATGTTGTTGTGATCCACTGGGGCATCAGCTGCAAACATTGCCATCCCAGACTTGCAGACAGGTTCTTGGTGCTAGGTATTAAGATGAAAACTGTAAATAGTTTGTGTGACAAGGCATAGCATAAATAGTACAAGAAAGCCATTTAACATATTCTGACTTTGTTATGTACTTAGTGTTACCTCAAACAAGGTACCTGACACTTTAATTTCTTCTTCTGTAAAATGAGGACCATTATACCTGTTTGATAACATTGTTTTAAGGACTAACTTAAATAATAATATATATAAAGTACTGCTTGGCACCTCCCAAATACTCTGAATGACACATACTTAAATAATGTTTTCTTTCACTCTCAGGGAAGGCACTGAGTTCAGTGCCAGAAGCACAGGGCCATTTAAGATCTACTTATTGATTGACACAAATCTATCTTATCCTTTTTGGAGACCCTTCTATAAACATCTGATGATAAATGGAGAGGAGAAAAGACCATTTTACAATCAAGATAACATTGGTGTTCATGAATTTAAGCTAATCTTGTCCTAAAATTCATTTGCGTGTATAGTTGTTTTTTTTTATATATAAAGTCCTACACTAGAGAAAGAATGAGACTATTGTACTCAATGTAATCTTTCTGTCTCGAGATAACACTTTAGATCTTAGGGAGAGGTAGATTTAAATCATGGCTAAGATGAATAATCACAATAGCCCTATTGAAGAACAGGCAGGGAAGGTGAACAACTTTTAAAGTGTCTAGATACCTACCTTTTAATTGTTCATGCCAGCAAGGAGGGTTATTGAAATTTATAATCTAGAGAATAATTTGTAGAATTATAGGTTTATGTAATAACATTTACATGCACACACATATGCCCACAAACACATCTCACCCTTCTTTCTGTAGCAAGTGTACTTTCCCAACTATATTGACTTGGAATATAACAAAATATGCTTTCCTTCCTTGAGTCTGCATGAGTCATGAACAGATCATGTCAGGGCAGGGAGAAGGTGGCAGAAGATGAAAAATATTATAAAATTCTATTATGAATGTGCCTTGCTTGCTTATAGACTCAACACATTAGTCTTACGAATCTTGTGTCAAATAGCCAGCAAACCTGTTTTGTTCCTCAGGAATGCGTATTTGTGCACTGTCTTTGTCAGAGTTTGGAAAACATTTTATCAGTAGTAAAGAAATCAACCTTCCACTTAGCCCTCCAATGTAGTAAAAATACTATATAATTTGGGCATGAAATACCAGGTCTGCCATTCACTAGTTAAATGACTTTGATGTTTTTCTCAGACTCATCTTTATTTATAAAATGGAAATATATTTCTTGAAACAGACTTTGTTATTACAGAAATCAAGTGTGACTGTATATACACATATTTACAACACTATATTATGTGCATATATGTAAAACACTACATAGTAACTTTAAAAAGATGCTTCTACCTAAAATGTAGCTACTTTGTACAATACACAGATGCTTCTTTGAGTATGTAAATAGCAGCTTTTCCTAAAGAAAATAATAGTAGTGACTATTGTTCTCATATTACAGGCTTATGAAAAAATTGCTTACCTTCTCACTAATTTAGGTAAGTCCATTTTTCTTCACTCCTTAGTAAAAGAACACTTTATATGGGAATATCAGTCTGTAGTTGCTTTATGTACATTAGTATTTTTAATATCAACTTCAGTTACATAATTGCCACTAGAAATGAAAGAAGCAGCACAGGATGTTGGACTACGTCACATAACTGTACAAAGGCAACGTATGTAGTTACAAATTCTCCAAACTAGAAGTCATCAAACATAGTTCTTCCCATGTTGGAGTGCTGTTTCCCCTACCTTTTCAGTTCTTTGATCTCTACAATATTATTTTGCCTTTATTTCTCAGTTGGATACTACTTTTGAGACCCAATGTCACCATCTGCCTTGGCTTAATTCTTGTCCTGATACCTGGGAAGTAAATTTTTTGAGACCTTGTATATCCAAAAATGTATTTTCTCTATATTTTAACTTGATTGTTGGTCCCTCTGTTTGGGGGTCAGAGTCTTTAAGACAGAGCTATTTGAGCAGGAATCCTTTATTGTTTGGGAACTCACCAGGGGCCAGGCACTAGACTTAGCATTTCTCATTCATCATTTTGTTGTACTGTAACCACAACTCTATGACAGTAGGATACTCATTTTATGGATTAGAAAACAAGATAATTAAATGAGTAGAATTTAAAAGCAGACATGACAGGCTCCAGTTAACTATGGTGGAATAACTGTATCATTCCACTGTGATATGTTTCTTCCCCTGTAATGCAGTTACAAGGACGAGTGATGATAGAAGAAACATTGTATGGAGGGGACCAATGGGCCCTAGTTCATGCTCTGGGGCTAAATGATAATATCACTTGGACATTATGTAACTATGACCAAGTTCTCTCCTCTCCCCATTCATTACCCTCCTCCTCCCTTTCCTTCCCCTCCCTCTGTACCTCTTCCTCTTTCTGCATCTCAGCTTCCTCATTGGTAAAATGAGAATAGGAACAGTTCCTGTTTCATCCTGTTGTCGCTGGCTGCCTGGCACATGACAACTGCTCAATAAGAGGGGATGATGGTTCATTGATCTGAGCTAGTCTCTTCATCTGGATAATGAAGCACTTGAACTAGGTTGCCTCAAATCATTCTTTTAGCTCTGATTATTCATATTCATTTTCTTTTAAAGTACTTTAAACCCAGGATGACAACAAATCTAAAAAAGTGACTTGGGGTACCATCACTAATAGTAGGAAACAGAAGAGTGACTTGTGCTAAGGACCAAAGCAGCGCTTCTGTGAGCAAACACCGGCCCTCCCGAGTGCTCTCCCTGGCGCCCACCAACCAGGCAGCTGTACAGACGACCCCCAGGCCCTCCTATTTCCGGAACCTGCCGGCTTTGGGCTTGAAGTTCCCTGGGACCTAGTCCCTCTTTATTCTGTCCTTGGCTCCTGCCTATATATTGGCCTACTTTTTTCTTACTAGATTTCATCTAATTTTCTTCCTTTCTTGAATCCTTCGATTATATCACAGTAAGTTAGATTTACATATATAGTTTTTGTCATTTATGTGGATGCCCCGGTAAGAGCAGAGGGTGCAGTTCATGCTGCCATCTTCTTCCAGTCTCTCTCACCACTTTTTTTTTGGTTTTCTTTTGTTTTAAGAATCCTGGAACCATACCATGTGAGAGTTGACAGGTTCTTTAAATCATATCATCTAAATTTCTCATTTTATAGATGATAAGACTTATTGCAGAAAATATGAAGACACCTGCCTGAGATTACCAGCAGCTGTGTGGAAAGCTGAGATAAGAACTTGGCTCTTCTGCCTGATGTAGCCCCTCTGTTTTCTCTACCATTTCACTAAGTGTGCACTCAAAATACTCATCCTTCAAAGAACTCTGTGCACAAGTTAGGTCCCTGTGTTGAGCACAGCCAGATAGGGTGAAAGGTTGATTTCATATCTGTGTTTACTTCTAAATGACAATAACAGAGAGGATCCTGGAAATCTTTATATGTTAATAACAGGCATCAAATTTTCGTAGTAGTGGGGACATCTGCAGATTGCCCCACTGGACCCTTTCATCAGCCCTGTACAGCAGATGTTATCATTCACATCTCACCGATGCACATTGGGACTTAGAGACCCTGACTGCCTCACAGACCTGGGAAATGACCGGACCAGAACTTAAACATAAAGATTCTGATTCTGTATCCACATTTCTTGTCCTTCACCTCAACTATGTAAACAACACCCTGTATTCCTCTAGAATATCCTCGAACAGAATCGGAATGGGAAAACAGTTTTGCCCTGAAGATGTTCCTCTTCCAGTTTGTCAATTTAAACAGTTCTATCTTCTATATCGCTTTCTTTTTGGGGAGGTAAGTCAGCTTTATATACATTATCTTTATAGAGTAAAAAAGATTGTCAACAATTTCACTTGCAGTGTGTTAACAAAGGTGGCACTTTTCTTATGCCCGGCCTTGGAAAATGGGGCTAATCAGTTTTCACATATTTTCAATCATAAGATTTCAGTATAGTGCTTCCAGCTCTCACTACCATTAAAGTTGGCATAAAAAAATAAAAGCTATTTGCCATCCATGGGTTGAATTATGACTCTGCAATCTTCAGTAATGGTTTTGTTAAATAAGAAAATAATTTTTGCATAACCCTAGGTCACAGTTCCTTAGTGTGGAAACTTCCACTACCTTCCATGTTAACATTTTTTTCCTATTTTGGCTGTAAAACATGGAAACAATATTAGACCACGGCTTCTTGTATGCCATTTGATTAACACCCCAGCCATTGCCATGGAAACATAGTTGAAGCTATGCCCATTTAAAATTAAATTGTTTACCACATTATATTAGTGTTCTTTAGCTAGGTCAACCAGACATTAAAACTCTAGAGGTGAAGGCAGAGAATTTCATTCAGTTGGTTTGTACTTTCTCAACCCATCAGTATTGAATTCACACATCACTTTTTCCTTTTTATGTCCAGTACTTTGATGTGTGAGCATGACCTAAGTCAACCATTCAGAACAAGTTACATCAGTGAACACTCACGTCTCCCCACACTTGTACTTGCGATGCTTTAGATGTTCTTCAGTCAACCCACATAAATGCTAATGAATTAAAAATGGCTTTTTACAGATTTGTAGGCCACCCAGGAAATTACAACAAACTCTTTAACCGGTGGAGACTGGAGGAAGTAAGTAATGTAAGGGTGGTTGTGGGGATATGCATGGATGTGGGCCAGTGACTGTGGGAGAAACGGGGGTGGAGAAAGAGGGAGAGAAGGTAAGTACAGGGAATTTCAGGCATGCTGAAAATGCTAACCTTGCTTCTTAATACTGCTTTGCTCTTAATTTAACCTCTCTGAATATCTCTCTCCTCATCTGTAAATTGACAATAATAATACTTGGGTTGCAAAGCTGTTCATAGATAAGAAATAATGTGTATAACAAAATTAGCACAACCCCAGGCCTGTGGTAGGTACTCAATAAATTTTAGTTGCTATTTATCGATACTCTATCTCCACAACTACCCAAATATTATTCTGCTGGCCAATGACAGACTAGGGCTACTCAAAATCCCAGGTTTTTGAGAAGTCCCCAAATCAAATGTGCAGTTTTTTTCATAGCTCAGAAGAGTGATTGAATCTGCTAGAAGGCTTTTCATCTACCCAGTTGAAGTGCCCAGCTGGAGTTAACAACGGTAGTGTGGGGAACAGAGTCGTTACAGGCAGGCAGGTCTGTGTATTAATGCCACCAATGATTTTGTGTAATTGGCTATCCTTATATGAAATTGTTGGAAGTCATGATTCTTCTTTGAAAGGGCCAAGGAAATAATTATAATACTGGTGTCAGGAGAAGTGTTTTATAACCATTCTAGACATTTTCCACAATATATATGCCATAGATAGAGCCATATTTTTCAGCAAGGGGTTATTTGCTTTGGAAAAAATTAGTGACATGAAAAAATGTGTGTTTACAATAGACACTAAACATCCTATAAATGTATCTGTGAAAAGTACACATAATGAAAGATAATGAATTCAATCATACAACAAGCATGCATTGACAAATCCTCTGTTCTAGGCTCCTGCTGCAGAGCAGGGGGTATACGATGAAGAAGCCCCTTTCCTTTCTTTGACATTGTCAATAGTCATGAAGAAAAGAATGTAACCATGATATCTAACAAATATTGTGCCTTTTGCGTCTGACAGTACACATCTTAATTTTGTCACACCCAAATGCATGACCTCACATATCTCTAAGCCTCAGTTTTTCCTTTTGTAAATTGTGACATAAATGGCTATTTCAGTAGTAGAGGTGATAAGCACATTAAATTGGATCATGCATGTGAAATCCCTGGCACAAATAATGGTAGTCATTATAAAGACAGATAAACAACACTGCACTGTAATTTAGAACAGTTATGAACAGCTATACTGGACTTCCCTCATATTATGCTATAGTATTTTATGTAAATAAAATACTCACATAGTATTTTATGTAAATCTACATAAAATGTTAACAAGAGCTAATTTTTAATGAGGACTTACTATATGCCAGCACTTTCCAGCAATCATTTCTAAGTGTTTTACATATATTCATGCATTTAAGTATCACAGAAAATTTACTCTTACACTGATTTTACAGATGAGAAAACAGGATCTTAGAGAAGTTATATAAGTTGCCTCCAGTGAATGAAACATACTGATAGACTGATGAAGTCATCCATTTGATACCAGTGTGACCCAGGCAGCCTAGCTTTGGAGTCTGTGCTCTGAACACTGTCTTTCCAGCCACCGCTGGGATGGGCACAGACCCAGTCGAGAACATAGTGGAAACTAACTTTCATGAGAGATTGCTGAATGATTGCTAACTCACACGGGTGAACTGGATTTGGAGTAAACATATAAAGTAGGGGAAGTGAAAGGATCATGGGTATTAATCGGAGTCTGATAGTCCTGTCTGCTGCTTAGCTTCATCATCAGTGCAGTGGAGATGCCAACACCCATCTCACCAGGTTCTCGTGAGCAGCACAGGTGGAGGTACCCAGCTTTGGGTTGTCCATGGTCGCAGGACTGTGAGTGGTGCAATGGGAGTGACAGCCTGGGTCTCCTGAATGCTCCTTCATGCCTAGCTCCTTAGCTCCTTACTCATTCTAAGTATCAGACCTTTTACCAAATGAATTTTCGATTATGGAGGACTAGATTTAGCTCAAGGGAATCATCATGTGAAGAGAGTAGACTCACAAAAAATGCCAGATCCCTTTCTCTGCCCTATAAATCACAAAGCCATTGGGGCATCATTTCAACAAAATTATAGATGGTCTGCCACCCAACCTTCCAACTTTGGCCTACTCTTGGGGACAGTGACTCAATCACATGGTTCTCTAATAGTCTTCGTTTTTCTTCCCCACGTAATAACATGCTTTGATAAACCAACCCCTCAAGGCAACAAAAACGTTTGGTAAATAGGATTCATCTTTAGCATTATGTAAAAAAGCACTGGATTTGGGTTCAGGAGCCAACCCTTTTATTCCCATACCATCAGTTAACATTGCATGACCTCCAATAAGTTAATTTGCCTCTTTGAGACTCTCTGCAAAAATGAGAGCATCAGCGTGCAGCTGTGATCTTTGCTCTGCTTCTGTAGTTCAGTAATTATTCTGCCTTGGACAGTCTATCAACCCATTTATCGTATCTGTGTGGCACAGTTCAGGGGGTCCTCAATTCATCCTAGAGAGAAAGGGCATGCTTAGATGGGAAAACCTAGACTTCTCCACACAACAAAAATCGCCACGGCCTAACACTCTCTCTGGCTCAGATTAGAAGTTTTAAATTACTGGGCTGAAACTGGAAAATCAGGCTTTTCATGTCCTAATTATTTGTTCTCTTTGAAGTCCCACTGCTACCGATTTGGTAGAAATAGAAACTGCGGATCAAAGCTGTAGAGTTGATCATCTTTGTGAGCAGGACATGAACCCATTTCCAAAGAAACACACCCACGTTTTTCTATCCAAAACTTTTTTATAGTGCGTTGTTTTCAAGCAAAATATACTGATTGCAATTTCCATTATAATCATACTTTTGTTTGTATGCGTTTCTAAAAATGCTATTTTTAAGACGTAGAATTTTTAAAAAATTTTATTGAATTTATTGGGGTGACATTAGTTAATAAAATTATATAGGTTTCCAGTGTGCAGTTCTATAACAGATCATCTGTATGTTGTATTGTGTGTTCACCACCCCAAGTCAAGTCTCCTTCCGTCACATTTACCCTCTTCAGCCTCACTGTACCCTCTTTGCCCTCTGGCAATCACCATATTGTTGTCCGTGTCTATGAGTTTTGTCTTTTGCTTAACGCCTTCACCTCTTTCACCCAGTCTTCCTCCCAGAATCTCCTCCTCTCTGACAGCTGTCAGTCTGTTCTCTGTATCTGTGAGTCTGCTTCAATTTTGCTATGACCATATCAACCTGAATGTACCCAATCTTGTCAATGCTAACTTCAATTTAACATTGAAAAGTGCAAAGGATCACGGAGAAGGAAAAATTTGGATTATACTGACAAAGTATTTTGTGGCATGCTTTTATCACTTAAAAATACGTTAAGAGTATATGTAGATACTTCATGAAGAGGCGGAGCTTTAACATCTGCCCCCATCTTGAGAACGAGCTAGATTAGTGATTGACTTCTAAAGACAAGACTGGGGCCGGGGGGGGTGGGGGGTGGAGAGAATGAGTAACTCCACAGTAGAAACACCTGCAAAACACTAGATCCACCACACGGTGGTTAATATCACTAGTGATGTCATATGGATATTATGTAGCCCCTGATGTCATGAAAATTCCACTCTTGTGATCTGCCTCCATCCCCAAAACACATAACCCCAGTCTAAACAAGTGAAAAACCCAGATTGGGGGATTTTCCACAGGATACATGTCCAACAGTCCTTAAAACTATCAAAGAAAAGGTGAAGGGATTAATCAAAAGAATATATCACATAAACACAAACAATAGTGTGGTGGTAGCCACAGGGAAAGGGGGATGAGGGGAAGTAGAGGTGGGCAAAGGGGGGATGGGGGTGGAAAGAGGCTTTGCTTGGGGAGATGGGTGCAGGATATGGGGTACAAATGAGGTTTTATTGAGCTGTACAGTTGAAACCTGTTTGGGTTTGTGAACTAACGTCACCCTAATTAAAAAGCCTTCAAGGACATGAAAAACTCAAAAACTGTCTAAAGCAGAGGAGACTGAAGAGACATGACAAATACATACATTAGGGTATCTGGATTGAGAAGGTATAAATTGAAAAACTGAAATCTAAGTAAAGTCTAGGGTTTAGTTAATAGCAATGCACTAATGTTGGCTTCTTAGCTTTGACAAATATACCTTGACAATGTTAATGACAATGGAGGGAATTGGGTGAGGGGTATGTGGGAACTCTCTGTATTATCTTTGAAAATTTTCTACAAATTTAAAATTTTCTGGTATAAAAAGCTTATTTTTAAAAAATATTATAAACATTTTGCCATAGAATTAAACACTTGTCTGTCTCCTGTTAATAGAACTATAGTATTCCAGAACATTTACTAAGGTGATCATTCCTGACACAGAGTTTGGCAGTAGCAAGTGCTAATTAAAAGTTAGATTTGTAGCCCTGGCTGGCGTAGCTCAGTGGATTAAGCGTGGGCTGCAAACCAAAGTGTACATGCACATTGTACATCAGCAACTGCACATTGATGTTTCTCTCTCTCTCTCTATCTCCCTCCCTTCCCTCTCTAAAAACAAATAAATAAAAATCTTTTAAAAAAAAGTTAGATTTGTAATGGGGGACAGAAGGGGAAGCTGCAAGCCCAGGAACATGAATAGATGACTCATGGGCACAGGCAATGGGGTATTGACTGTGGGAGTTGGGGGGACGGGGTGAGGAGAGCAACAGGGAAAAGGCAGGGCAACTGTAATTGAACAACAATTGAAAAATAATAAAATAAATTTAATTTAAGACAAATAATGGCCATGTTAAGTGTAAAAAAGTTAGATTTGTTGTTACTGCTGTTATTCTTTTGATTGAAGTTCTGATGTAAATCCTGAAAACTCCCCTATCTAGTATCCTCATTCATGCAGTTTCTTTCCTGTTCTTATTTTCTATATACATTGTGGCCATGTGACCTGGCTTTAGAATTTGCTTTACAATTCAAAGGTGGGTATGTTCAGGCCAGCTGAGAAGAGAAGGATCATTGCTGTTCTGGTTCTGTTCCAGTGTCATCCGAGTGGCTGCCTGATAGACCTCTGCCTCCAGATGGGAGTGATCATGTTTTTGAAGCAAATATGGAACAACTTCATGGAGCTGGGATACCCGTGAGCACTATCTGTAAAATTGCCTTTTATATAGTTACAAAGAAGACAGATAGAGGTAGTGAGCGTATTCTTAAGAATTTGGGCTTGGCAGTCAGGTGAGGGTCCCGTTCTCACTCTGCTCCTCACTAAATGTGTGACCGTATATATGGGAATACAATTATCTGATATTCAGTTTTTATATTTCTATAAGGGGATCGACAGCTATATCCACTGCAAGAACAGTTGTAAGGACTGAAGGAAATACTAGATGTAGAGTAACTGGTACTCTGTTCAACACATTAAGATACTTGTTTTTCTTAAAATATTATTTTTTAAAGATTTTATTTATTTATTTTTAGAGAGGGGAGGGAGATAGAGAGAGAGAAACATCAATGTGTGGTTACTGGGGGTTATGGCCTGCAACCCAGGCATGTACCCTGGCTGGGAATCGAACCTGCGACACTTTGGTTCGCAGCCTGTGCTCAATCCACTGAGCTATGCCAGCCAGGGCTGTTTTTCTTAAAATATTATTGATGGTACATGTTCTTGGGGAGAAAAATAACTTTCTGATTTATTTTCACTATCAAAAGTCCAAAACTGTTGTTATTTACTATAGACTCCATTTCCACTATGCCCCCCCCACAAAAAAAAGGGTAAAACAAAGATAAAGTCAGGGATGGAAGAGGTTTGTACTCCATGTTACACGTACACACACAACACACCAATCATCAGAACAAGATGATTGTAATAACATCAAATCAAGACCACTCTTTTGTCCCTTAGGTAAGTTTTAACTGTCTGTGAAATGCTGACATGAAAAGATCCTGAATCTCCACTTTTTCATCTGTTAAGTAGGGTATCCTTCAAAATATAGTAAAATGCACTATATTTCAAACAAGTTGGTATGATAGCTCTGGGGCCTAATCAAAGTTAAAAACATGACTGTTTGGAGGAATTTCCTGACTATGGGGAAGAACTGGTTAGGTGATAGATGATTTAAATAGTTTAGGATTAGTCATCAAATTATACCATGATTCTTTCTCCCTGCTGGCCCACAACTGGCACTGGGACATTCCTCAGCAGAGACTTTGGGGCTGGAGAGGGGACATTAGTCTGGAAATCTGCCATAAAGTATTGTGTTAAATCACAAACAGTCTTAGTATGAAAGCACCAAGACCTTATTCAAATTCCTTCTCTACCCCTTGCTAAAAGGTGCCTATAATTTACTTGGCCTCACTGAAACCTTATCATTTTTATGTGTGAAGTAAAGGATTAATAAAGATTGATTGAGACGACCATATGCTCATTAACTTCAGTAAATGACAACACCCTTTTGTGAAGAGATTTTTATACAGATCTTCAATATTCACACCAGATTAAAATGAATCTTTTCTAAATGAAGAGAGAATAGGGGATGGAGGATATGGGAGCCGACTCTATTCCTCATACCCCTTCCTATCCTTGGCTCATCTCTTTGAAACATAAGGTTGGGGGAATATTATCTTAAAATGCCTGAGAAAATTAGCCATTAAGTGCCCAGCACAGGAACTGAGGTGCTGTGAGCACTTCACAAGCACCATCAGGATAGTGTAGTCATTACGGTATTAAGAATAATTCTTTTCTTACCATTTTCCTGGGCTTCTGTACTCACCATGCACTTTGGACAGCACTCTTTTAGCATGGCCTTGCCCAGGGTCAGCCTGGGTTATGCATATCAAATGCCCAGGGTACCGTGGCAAAGGACATCCTATTGGTGTTTGTGCAACAGTTGGGCAGAGGTATTATTGGAAATAGTCTAGCAGAGGTAGGCCAGTCACTAAAGCAATGATTTTCAAACTTTTGAACCATAGTTCTTTTCCTTCCAAGTAAAATCTTAAGCAGAACTGAAATAAATAGAAAAGAAGCGAGCAAACCTGCCTCAGTTCCAACTTCCATCCCCTTTTTTATCTCCAGGGGCCCCCAGAGGCAGCCTCTGTGGGACACACGTTGACGTACTGCCTCATATTTTGGTCTACCTCTAGTTCTTTTAACTCCCCCTGAAGTTCTAGGTCCACAGTTCATTGAAATTGAGAGTTGTATACTGAATCCTGTGAAATGTCCCTCATTCTAGAAATACTTTGCATCTCACTCAAAATAATTCATTGCCCAAAAGTCCACAATATGTATGTAGTGGTATATTTCTGAGTCATATAATTTCAAGACTGCCCCTGGGGTAGGGAAAGAGTGCTGTTACTTTCCAAGTCTGAGAAATGAACTCAAAAACAAGTCCATTGCCTGTAAAGTATTGTTCACTATAGTAGCAGAAAGTAATCACTGATGATCAAACCCTTTGCTTTATAAATCAAGTGAAATGAGTTGCTAAAACTCACACTTAGTGCATTGCAAGGTGGGGACTAGAAACTACATGTCTTGAAACCCTATCTAGGTCTTACTGTTTTAATGTGGAACCTGATTGTACTCACAGTCAGAAAACATAGCCCAGAAACTTCGGGTTATGGAAATTGAAGGGTTCAGATGCAATCACAACAACAGGCAACAGAGGAGTTCAAGTATTTATATAGATGGGGTGTGGGAAGCAATCATAGAAACAGATGTCTGTCTGTCTAATCAATATCAGGAAGTGTCTAAGTGTGTGGGGGATCAATTCCTAGATAAATATGTGGATGTTTATAGGATCTTGGAGAGTTCTTGAAGGCTGAGGCCTTTTCTCCCATGCTAAACTTGAAAGACGAGACCTTCAGTTCCCAGGAATGCTTAGTGTAGTCCCATGGTAGTTGATGTTAATACACTATGAATTATTCCCCAGGTACTTAAATAAGAGCTCAAAAGCCCTTTGTCTGCCTTGTGGTGTAGGTTGATCCAGAACTGGTGGTCACGACATAAAATCAAGCGAGGAATACAAGATGCTTCTATACCTCAGTGGGAAAATGATTGGAATCTGCAGCCTATGAATATTCATGGACTGATGGATGAATATTTAGAAATGGGTAAGGAGAGATCCTTCTGCAGAACTATTTGGCTGCCTTGTTACTAGTTTTCTATTTTATGCCGTTTTTGGTTCAAGAGAAAATCATCTCTCTCCTTTCTATGCCAAGCATTCTAAAATACCTTGACACCTTCATCCCAATAGACTAAAGGTATTAAAAGCATTGTCCTTGGAAGTCTATTACATTTTGTCCTCATAATATGTGTCAGCCCTATTAAAGTAATAATTCTTCCTCCCAATAATTGTTTCACAGACCTAGTCTAAGTCGTGACTTCTTCAAGAAGCATACTTACTTACATTAGAAAAATAAAGATTTACATTCCAATTGTTAAAATCACAATGTGTTAGGTTAACATTTGCTCTTTTTCTGGACTTCAGTTTTCTTATCTTTAAACTAGAGAGGACAAGACTAGGTCTCTTGGGTCCTTTCTAGAGCTAAGCGTTTTTTAAGGCCCCCTCTTTGATTTCTTCTGTGTTTACTCCTCCTATATGCTGCATGGTACAGAGGTGGAAAGAACATAGACTTTCAGTCTACTGAGCTGAGTTTGAATGCAGGTTTTAACATTTTTTAGCTATCTGCCCTTTAGGGAGTTTACTGAACACATACGAGCTATAGTTTCCTTAACTCTGAAGTGGGATAAACATAGTTACCTTGTAGGGATGTTGAAAAGATTAAGAGTAATTTATGTGAATCACTTAATATTGCACAATGAAGGCATTCAATAAATGATAGTGTTTCTATTACTAATTTTTGAATGTTCTCCCTTTACAGTTTTGCAGTTTGGTTTTACCACCATATTTGTTGCGGCTTTTCCTCTGGCCCCTCTTTTGGCTTTGTTAAACAATATCATTGAAATCAGGCTGGATGCATACAAATTTGTCACCCAGTGGCGGAGGCCTCTGCCAGCCCGAGCAACTGACATAGGTAAGACTCAAGAGTTAAATGGTGTTGGCATTGCTAAAGCCAAGAGGGGACCAGGTCTTATATAATACCATGCAGGTTTCTATCGCTGGGGCTCCCTTCCAGCCATAACAAAATAGCAGTTTTTAGTTGAAAGGAAGAAAGAAGGAGAGAGACAGAGAGAGGAGAAATAAAGAAGAAGGAAGGAGGGAAGGAAGGAGGGAAGGAAGGAAGAAAGGAAGGAAAGAAGGAAGGAAGGAAAGAAGGAAGGAAGGAAGGAGAAAAAGACTAATTTAGTTGAGAGTAGTTTCATACTAAACATGTTATTTCATTAACTTGTTTGTAACTACAAAGGATTTCATGTACATCTTTCTATGTTAATAAATATAGCTCTGCCTTATTCTTCTATTTTTTAATTTAATCTTTATTGTATTTTTTCCACTACCATGTAGTGCCCTTATACCCTCTCCCTCCACAATCACCACACTGTTGTCCATGTCCTTGAGTCCTTTTTCCTTTTTGCTCAATTCCCCCACTTTCTCACCCTCTTCCACTATGAGTTGTCATTGTTCTCTCCATCTGAGTCTGTCCCCATTTTTCTTGTTAGTTCAGTTTGCTCATTAGATTCCACATATGAGTAAAATCATATAGATTCCACATATGAGTAAAATCATATGGCACTTGGCTTTCTCTGACTAGCTTATTTCACTTAACATAATGTTCTCCAGCTCCATTCATACTGTCACAAAGGGTAAAATTTTCTTCTTTTTTATACACAATGGAATATGAGTAGTATTCCATTGTGTAAACAGAGTTCTATTATATGTTGTATGACAGTTTAAAAAATCAGCCACCTGTTTAGAGATGTTCAGATTGCTTTAGCTCTTGCTATTCTAAACAACACAGAGGTGAACATCTTCATGCATACTTTGTCTTATTATTTTCTTGAGGTGAATTGCCAGAATGCAAGTCCTGTGTCAAAGAGCGTGAACATTTAAAGTTTTGATCATTTGCTAACACGTTCTCTAGAGATACTGCGCCAATGTATTCCCCCACCATAGCTAATGAATGCTCATTTCTCCATTTTCTCAACAACTCCAGCTGTAGTCAGGTTTTTGTCATTCCATCCTCAACAATAAGAGGAAGAAAAATGATATGTTAGATTTACTTGCATTTATTATAACTATGACATTAATACATTTGTATCTCTCTTTACTACTTGTGTTTATGACCTTTGGCCATTACACCTGACTTGGTGATATTTATCTCATATTAAAAAATGCTAGTCTTTGATATAAATGTGAACATTTTGAAATGCTGATTTGTAATTTTTTTATATTATGCATACGGTTTTAAAGTATATATATAGTCAAATTGATATATCTCCCTTATAGCTATTATTATTTGTGGCATTCTTTAAAAAGGTCCTTTAGAACTCAAGATTTTTCACCCATTGTTTTAATTGTTTTGTATTTTAGCTACATGTGTTATTTGCCTTTTGTTTGTTGGAATTTTATGATTTTATTTAAAGTGTTGATCTGTCTGAAATTTGCTATTAATAAAGGCATTAAAACTGAGATCCAGCTTTTTTTAACAGATAGCCAATTATCCTAAAACTATTAAACAACCCATACCTTTTAAACTTATTTGAATTATCTTTCTTATCCCAAATTCTACATAAACTTATGTATATTACTAGAACCTCCATTTGTACATTGATCTAACTACTTATTCTTGGCATAATGTTTTAATAAACTGAAGTTTTGTAATAGAAATTCAAAACATATGGAAAAGCAAAGCCTTGCATTCTTTCCTTGTTTGGCTATTATTGCAAAGTTACTTTTTCCTGTTGATATTAGTCTTATGTATATTCAACAACCACGAAAATCTGTTCACAATATATTGGTCTGTAGAGATGTAATGCCATTCAACTTGATTTCCCATTTATTGAAACAACTAATATTCATTTTGTTAATTTGCTGCTATTTAATTTGGATATGTGTATAATTTTATTGTTAAAATAATGTAAGCACGTTAAAGAAAATCTAAAAAATAACTCGGAGGAGAAAAACAAAATTCCAATTTTAGCTTTAGTGTTTATTGCACTTTCCAATGCATAGAGTACTATTTTTTAAATTTTGCTAGACTGTCTTGCTCAAACCAGATGACACAAAGTTATAAAAATAATTAATAATCCTCCCCCCTTTTACCTTTCCCTTCTACTTAAGGGATTCAGTGAAATCAATCAGACATATATTCTTTGTCAATGTTTTTCCTGCTCATACAAATATGTAAAAAATATTTATGAGCTTATTTTGGGCTTTTCTTTTTTTTTCTTTTTTTTTAAATATTCTTTTTTTTAAAGATTTTATTTCTTTTTAGGGAGGGAAGGGGGGAGAGAGAGAGAGAGAGAGAGAGAGAGAGAGAGAGAGAGAAACATCAATGTGTGGTTGCTGGGGGTTATGGCCTGCAACCTAGGAATATACCCTGGCTGGGAATCGAACCTGGGACACTTTGGTTCCCAGCCCGTGCTCAATCCACTGAGCTACGCCAGCCAGGACTTTGCTTTTTTTTCTTCATGAAGATCCTCTAGCTCAAAACATAGTGGTGTAATTCATTTAAATAGAGTAATAATATTCATAATATGAATGACATAAATTTTATAGACATTTACTTAATTTCCCAACCATAAACAGGAATAAACATACATACATATAGCTATAGATAGATATAAATATAGATATAGATTTAATTGATATGTATTATACATCACATATCCATATATACAGATTGTAGTATGATCCCAATATCAGATTATCACAAACATTGTAACAAGACATACTTTAAACAACTACCTACCTACCTAAAACACTTCCTGTTTCCTCAATCTCCAAATAGCACTGGATGGTATAAGAATTTCAAATCTTAGCAAAATTCTTTCTAGCTCCTTCCATGCTGTTGCCAAGGGTAGGAGCTCCTTTTTTCTTTCTGCTGCATAGAATTCCATTATGTAAATGTACCATAGTTTTATGATCTATTCATTTACTGATGGGCACCTAGGTTGCTTCCAGCACTTGGCTATTGTAAATTGTGCTGCTATGAACATTGGGGTGCATAGGTTCTTTTGGATTGGTGTTTCAGTGGAATTGCTGGGTCAAAAGGCAGTTCCATTTTTAGTTTTCTGAAGAAGTTCCATACTGTTTTCCATAGTGGTTGTACCAGTCTGCAGTCCCACCAACAGTGCACTAGGGTCTCCTTTTCTCCACAACCTCTCCAACACTTGTTTGTTGCTTTGTTTATGATGGCCATTCTGACTGGTGTGAAGTGGTATCTCATTGTGGTTTTAATTTGCATCTCTCTGGTAGCTAGCAATTATGCTAAGTGAAATAAGCCAGGCAGTGAAAGACAAATACCATATGATCTCACCTTTAACAGGAACCTAAACAACAAAACAAACAAAAAAGCAAAATATAGCCAAAGACACTGAAATAGAGAACAGGCTGACAGAGACCAGAGGGGAGAGGGAAGAGGGGAGGAAATTTCAGGATAGAATGGAAAGGGTTTACAGGAACAAATATAAAGGACACATGGCAAAAACTAGGGGGGGTGGAAATGGGAGGGAGATGGGGAGGGAGGGGTGGGTGGGCTGGGATGGGAGTAAAGGACAAAAAACTGTACTTGAACAATGATTAAAATAAAATTAGAAAATAAAGAATTTCAAATCTTCAACAATCCCATAAATTTTAAAAAATCTTATTTCTTGAAGCACATTTCTCTGAATACTAGTGATTGAAAACTTTTTCATATATGTATTGGTTACCTATATTTTTATACCAAATTACTTATTTGGATTATTTGCTCATTTTTCTCTTGGGTGGTTTGCTTTATTAAAATTTTAGGATATCTTTGTATATTAATAACAAATAATAATGCTTTTCTGTTTTATATGAAGCAAATATTTTCTCCTTGACTTGTTTTCTTTTGACTAAATAGTGTGACTTTTGTGAAAAGAAGTGTTAAATTTGATATGTTTAAATATTGAATTTTTTTGCATTCTGATTTCTTGGTCATACAGCCTTTCCAACCAAGGAAATGTTAATTTATTTTTTTTCTTTACAATGCAATGCAGATATATTATAAAGATTTTGAAAATAAGGAAGGTGGGGAGGATTGCAGGGGCAAAGTTGCCTATCTGTACAATCATCTTTAGCACTTTGAGTATTTTTTCTAGAGCTTTTTTATTTTTATATCAATATTTTTAAAGCTAAGTTTAGTCCTATTTAAAACATAGTTTTGACTACAGTCAATAGTATACTGATACTATATGCAATTTCCAAAGCTTTATTTGTGTGTCTCTTTGATGCCAGTTTGCCCTCTTAAGAAGCAGAAATGTCAACTAGTAATTTGTAGGTCTTAATATCAAACTAGGTTTACTTTCTTGTACTTTTGCCTTAAAAAGTACTTGACGTAGCGAGTATATATATTTCAGACTTTAGCGAATGATGTAGAACTAACTAGATCATTTTTGCTTGTTATTTTTATTACTTCAGCAAGTTGTAATTAAGCTTTGAAGCAGCTGTACCAAGTCTCATTATTACAGACGTAAACCAATTCCTAACGGTATTTTAATTTTCAAACCTTTCAAGACAGAGGTCTTCCTTTCCCCTGTGAAAAAGCACTCAATATCTGTTCTATCTGTGGTGAGAAATACCAAGAAATTAAATAATGCAACTGTGATTCCAACATAACTATAACATTCTTTTCAAAATAAGATTGAGGAGAGGGTTTTATTTTTCTATTTTATTCACTATCTTTTATCTTTATTCTATTAGGTATATGGTATGGAATTCTTGAAGGGATCGGTATATTGGCTGTGATCACCAATGCGTTTGTCATTGCTATTACATCAGATTACATCCCCCGTTTTGTCTATGAATACAAATATGGCCCCTGTGCAAGACATTTCGACTACGGTGAAAAGTAAGGGCGAAATGTACACGTTTTTCTGATAGATTTTATGTTTGTTATTGAAACAAGAACTTATTGGGAAGTTTTGTTCTGTGACAATTAAAGGCAATGTTTCTGACCATTGCATTTATAATGTGTATATTGGAGAAATCAAGCAGGATAAAAAGGAAAACAGTGTTTTACAGTAAACAGTTTTAGAGTCTCTCCATGTTTTCCCTTGTAAATGTATCACTGACATCAAAATGTTAAAAAAAGATGTTATAATGCATTTAGAAGTCACATTTTGAACTGGAAAAGACCTCAGAAATCATCTAGTGCAATCTTTTGACTATGCAGATGGGGAAACTGGGGCCCACACTGGGTAAAAAAATTGCTGAAGTGAATAAAGCTAGTTGGTGGGGACATACAGAATAGGAAGGACCTGTCAGCTATATGATGAGAGATTCTTCTAAAGGAATTTACAGCAAGCTGTCCTGTGCATTATAGGATATTTAGCAGTAACTTTGGCCCTAGCCCAGTCCATTACCAATAGCAGCCTCCCTACCCTCCTAAGTTGTGACAACCAAAAATGTTTCCAGACATTGCCAGATGTCCCCTGAGGGACAAAACCACCCAGCTTAAAACCATTGCTTCAGGGACTATGAGATATTTCAGATTTTTTCTTCTTGAATGCTGGTATTAGGGAGGAATGCAAGAGAGACTGGTGTTCGGGAACAGAGAGAAACTGGAATTTTAGCTGGAGATTAGCCTTTGATGTAGAATTCCTAATCGAAGGTAAAGCAGTGATAAGAGAAGTTGTTTGTCCTTCTTCCTTCAGGAGTAGTTTTGGGTATGTGACTTATCTAGAGGCAGGACATGTGCCCCAACAGGTTGAGCCCTGGTTTAGGATGAAATCAGTCCTTAGATCTGCTGATGAACTGATGTTTTCTTAGAACATAGAAATTCCTTTAGAAACATAAATGTTTCAGTTTTTCAAAGGCAGGTAATAAAGCATGATATTTTTTTATATTATAGAGTCCTTTCAAGGGTTTTTAACTTGAAGTTAAACACCTTAGGTTTAAATGCTAACTACCTTTTACTCAAAGGAACATCATCAATCTTGACCCATGATTAAGAAATGATGTCTAAGGTAACATTTTATGTACTCTGAAACACAATATAAAGTGGTTTTATTATTATAATTGAAAATCAAAAAATCCTTTTTTTCTTAATTCATAATGATCTAGGAACAGATTTCAAGGGTTTATAAAATATGTAGACAGTTTTACAGCCTTCTTCCTTAGAAGCTGGTGTCTTTACTGCCACCTAGAGGCAAAAGAAAATTAAATTGTTTGGGTACTTTCCGGACCTACCTTTCACGTAGAGATAGCTCCTGACCCTTTCTCCAAAATGAATGACTAGGGATGTAGAATAAGTTCAAGAGGTGTGAAAGGCTTATGAGAAGTTGAAAACACACATACATGGGGTCAACCTTCTATTTCATTTTTTTCAAGGTATGCTTAGCAGCTAAATTGGAGTAGAGTCATTCAGATTGTAAATTTTCAAGGCCAGGTGACAAAAGGATAAGAGAGCAATGAGGAGGGTGCTGGCAAGATAACAGTCGAAATGGTAAATTATGAGGTCTGGGGCAGGGAAGGGAGTGAAGCCAGTGTGGCCGTGTAATGAAGAATTCCAGGTTTAAAATGGGATAGATGTGCACTTGAACCCAGGTACTATCAACTGTTTACCCTGGGACAGTGGTTCTCAAGGTGTATTCTGCAGGTATCTTTCAGGGCCCATGAGGCCAATACTACTTTAATAATAATACGGTCATAGAGCTTCTTTTTTCACCACATTAACATTTGCACTTATGGGCAAAAGCTGTGGGGGTAAATTTTTCTGGTGACTCTGCTTAACCCAAGTTAGTGACACCAACAAGAACCAGGATTGATAGTATTTCTCATTACTATACTATTACCATTTTAAAAGTGCTAGTAAGAAATTCCAGAATGTCCCTGATGAAACAGTAATACTTATTAATTTCACCAAATCTCTGCTCTTGAATACATGCCTTCTCAATAGTCTATATGACAAAATGCAAAGTGTGCATAAAGCACTTCTGTAATGTATCGAAGTGAGATGTTCGTTTCAAAGAAAAGCGCCATGTGCTTGTTGGAGCTGCAAACTCACCAAGCTGTTCTAGCATGCAGTGAGGATGGCCAGCCAATGATTATTCACACTTTTCTAAAATACACAAAACTATCTTATCATTTTAAGGAAATAATGGGCAGTGTTTGTTACTATGAATAAAGTTTAAGATTTGAAGTGAAACTTAGGATTTTAAATAACTTTTTATGTACCCCTGTGAGCTTCAAAGCTTTCCAGAACTTATAGATTATTTTTTCTAATAAAAATCAATGATAATATTAATGTTACTGATGTTTCATAGCTTATAGTAAAGATATATCAACATTTGGAAGATCTGTATAATTGAGGGAACCTATATTTTTCAAATGACCCATATTTGATGTTACAAAATCATTATGGGTGAAAAAATAAATTCAAAGTTCAAGGTAGAACTATGGATTTTAACATAATTACATAAGAAAACTTTACTGATATGTTTGGATTCCACTTGCAACTAAACTGTAAGAAATGCCCAGATGCAGAGCTTTGGTGGAATATCAAAGAACAATGTCAACAACTATCTGAAATATTATTAAAATAGTTCTCCTTTTTCCAACCATTTATATTTTTGAGGACAGATTCTGTACTTAACTCTTTAACCCAAATAACAAATTCAACAGATTTAATGAAAATTTAATGAGATATGAGAATCTAGCTGTCTTCTAAATATTAAGATAAACATTAAAGGAATTTGGAAATATGTAAAACAATGTCATTTTTCACTACACTTTTTTCTTTGGGAAAATGTAGCTATTTTTTTCTTTAAAATGTGTTATTTCTATTAATTTATAATGGATTTGATAGTTATTTTAAATTTATTAGAGAAATGTTTTCTAAATTTCTCAGTTTTAATCCCTTATGTGTTAAATATTAATAGATATACCCCCCAAAAAAAGGTCTTTGAGATTTTATGTTTAAAAGTATAAAGGGTGGCTGAGACCAAAATTTTCAAGAATTATAGGCCTAGAGAAAGTTATTTAGTCTCTGTAAACCTTAGTTCTTTAATTTACACATTGGAGATTAAAAAGTTATTGTAAAAACCCTGATCATAATTTAATATATAACCACCAGGATAGGGATTTTTACATGAGTTGTTCACTGTTGAATACCAAGACTCTAGAATTTTTCTAACAAAATGAGGTTTTCAATAAATATATTTGCGTAATTAATAAATATATTACAAATAAACATGTTCATTGACTGGCTGCATAATTATAATTAAGCAAATAATATTATCTGCATGTTTATAAAACATTTATAGGGGTTTAATCCATAGGAAGTAATTACCAATACCTAGTGCATAATAAACACTTAATAAATGTAAACCAAATGAATGTGTAAGATGGAAACTATTGGGAAAAAATGGCAGATGAAAGTCTGACTCATTAAATACAGGTGTAAGGGGAGTTAGGGAGTAGAATCAGATCACTAAGAGGCTAGGAGTTTGTAATTAGAATGAAAAGAATGGTGGTACTTACCAAATCTTGTCATTTGTAATGAGGAATTTAGACTAGAAATTTATGAATCTCTGAATGACATGATACTTTTCTTTTCCTCCAGTTGTTTAAAGGGATATGTCAACAACAGCCTCTCCTTTTTTGACCTGAGTGAGCTTGGTATGGGAAAATCAGGTTATTGCAGGTACTGACTTACAAATTATAGCTATCTTTTCTTCTTGCCTTCATCATTCCATCTCCTCCTTCTCCATAATAACGAGCCCATTTTCACTGTCATTTTGGAGTTCTGGCAAATCAAGAATATTTGGGGCCTCCATACTTTGATCTCTGTTCTTCAAAAAATTTTCTTGTTTGTTTTTTGTGGACTTTAGATACCGAGACTACAGAAGTCCCCCTTGGAGTTCCAAACCCTATGAGTTCACCTTACAGTACTGGCACATCCTCGCTGCTCGGTTGGCCTTCATTATCGTGTTCGAGGTTAGTCACAAACTGATGAAATAACCATAGGTAAATGCTTTTCCAGCTGATATATTAGTTGCCTCTTTGAAGTACACTCACTACTGACTTCCAAAAAGGGACTAGACTATGTCCCAGTAAAAGGTTCAGATACAATGGAATCACTCTAACAAGTGCAAAACAGCAATAGGTGAAAAATGTAAAAAAGTAGGTCAGTGGGTGGGTGTTTGTACCAGGAAAACTAGAATAAAAACCTACTTACAGTTGAACTGAATGCTTAGTTTTGAGCCTCCTAATAACCAAATTTTAAAAGAAAAGGATGTTTTTTTATCATCTGACAAAATAATTCATATCTATTCACCAGGATAGAGAAATGTATTTCCTGAACAATCAACTCTAATTACAGTTGATTGTGTGTATTAATAGAAGGGACATTGCATAATTTAGTCAGTTATGCCTGAGAACACTTTTATAAAAATTGCATAGATTGAGATTATCAGGCCATGCAATAATATGAGATTGTAGTCCCATGAAGACATCTTGGAGAAGCTACGGAATTATTGCCTTGCTTAGCATAAACCAACCAGTTTGATATAGTAAGAGCTTAACACTGGAATATATTATCTATTCTCTAATGTACTACTAAGGTCTAAGGACAAACTTGGAAGGCATCTGTTTCCTATGATCAAAATTACAGAGTGAGATAGCGAGGAAAGAAACTCCTAACCTGCTTTTCTGTGGGAAACTTGACCTGCTCACTATGATCCACTGGGCAGTGCAGTCTCCTGGGACACACATAGCAAGCTCAGTTAAAAGTGCCGTGAATTCTTTCTTTCCACATAGAGACTATTGTCACAAAATCCTTTAGGTAAATGTGTCCTTTTCTATAGATCACAGTAACTCTATCAGTATCAGATTTTTTTTTTTTTTTACTGAGTAACAGAAAGATCTACATTTCTTTATGGGAAAAGACAAAGGATGCATTTATAATAATAGGAAGTAATATTTAAGTAGTGTGTATACTCATTTAATCCTCATACCAGCCTTTAAGAGATACTGTTATTATCATTATTTTAGAGGTGATACACAGAGAATGTGGGTGATTTGCACAAGGTTATACATCTGTGTCAAGAGTCAGAGTAAGGTTCAGATGTAGGCAGTCTCATTTAGCATCTGTACTTTTTAACCACGGGCATATTACCTTTTGATTTTTGTTCCTGTTTTTTATATGTAATACTTTTGTCCGTCTGTTGTTTAAAATATTTTATCGTAGAATAATTATGTAACAAACAAAAAATTTAAAGCAGTTGTAATGATAAAGGACTTAGTAGAGTAGAAGTTTTGACAAATTCAAGTACTGGAGGTTGAGTCTAATCCCAGCATCACAGGCAGACTACATTCTCTCTAGTTTGTTGGCTGTGTATCTCCATCCCTCCATGGTTTTTCCCTGGATACGTGGGTTTTCCCTGGATGTGATCTTTCTCATGTGTATATGACAGTTCTTCGTTTCTTCCTAATACCTATGTGATATGAGGCAACAGTAGTATTCCCAACATAATTTCTGAAAATATTAATATTCTAAATCATATATACTGAGTTCTGATGATTGACTGTGAGGCAAATGCAACATTGTTCATGGTTTTTCTGTTTTATAATTGGCATTTCTGAATCTTTGAAAAGTGTACTTTTTCTTCTTAAATTTTCAGCACCTTGTTTTTGGGATCAAGTCATTCATCGCATACCTGATTCCAGATGTACCAAAAAAACTGTATGACCGAATACGACGGGAGAAGTACTTAGTCCAAGAAATGATGTATGAGGCTGAGCTAGAGCATTTGCAACAACAACGGAGGAAAAGCGGTCATCCCGTTCACCATGAATGGCCTTAGTAGATACCTTTTGCCCAGTAGGAGGAGTAATAGCAACTTCAAAGTCTAGGTGGAATCCCAGAGGAAAGCATTCCTGGCAAACCATGTGTATAATATTTTGCTTGGAAATGCATCACAGCCAGTTCTTGGATTTAGAATATCCAAGCTTCTAGGCGGGCAAAAAGATGACTTACAACATTAAAAAATGGTTAGGTTGACACAGCAGGAAGCTAGGATATAACACACAGGGAGTTGTATGTTTGAAGGCCTTCCCGCCTTCCATCAGCTGTAGCATAGTAAGGAGGGTGATAGTGAGGTTTCTAGAGAAAGAGTTCCATGTAAAATTTCATAAACCAGGCATGATTTCAAGTATAGTGTGGTTTTCACTCACATTCTAATCTGACTTTGGAACCTTAGGATGAGTTACGATACTCATCAGAAATAACTTAAATGAGGGATTGCCTTCGCTGCCAGAAATCCATGTCCCTACAGTTTACTGGTTCATAAGAATTTCCCTTGTTTCTTGCTGAGATTACGGACCTGTGCCACAGGTCCATGACTTTATGCTGCTCTACATTGACTATGCAGTTGAAGAGCTGCACATCAGTTTTAGTTGTCAAACCAAAAATCTGAGATTCTGAAAAGAATACCATTCACTAAAATAACAGTCTATTGCATTCTATTTAAATCTGTTGTATCACTCATAGAACCAGTTGCACTGGATTTTTTTTTTTTACTAAATGCCAATAGAGCCACATGCTTATACAGTATGTGTGTTTATACTCATATCATTTAGAACACTACTAATTCATGTTTTGCCATGGAAGTCTGTTTATAATATATTTAATGTTCCCCTTGCTGATTTATTACATCAACCCACTCAGAATGAAGTGCTGTAAATATTTTGGTTTTCCTTGTACCTTTGCACCTTGACAATATGTAATACAAGTTACAGTTTATGCAGCTCTGAGACCACTTCCACCGTATACCGTTGTGACTTGTTTTTTCAGGAAAACAGAAGCCAGATGCTTTTCAACTCTTTTGCTTTTCTGGCATTGTGCACTCTTGCTCATGAGTGAATGAAAACAATGCATGGATATAAATTTCTATTACTTGTAACATTGACACATTATTTTTCCATTTTACTTTTCTTTCATTACTGAGGGGAGTTTTCTGTTATTTCTTTGGCAGATTGATTTGATTTATTTTTGAAAACTCTCTAGAAACAAAGGCAAATTAAGTGTGAAAGATTTGCTTTTTTTGTGGAGTTGCTATTTCGGTGTCAACTTTGTATCTTTGAGTGTGACTGTTCACAGATGGGTGAAGTGGGCAGATGGGACATTGAACTACAGAACATCTGGTGAAGGCATAAGCTATGGGGGCAGCAAGAGAAGAAAGAGAAGAGTTGAATTAAGGAAATGTATGATAGAAATCAAGAACCTTTTCCTTGCAGAACAGTCCAAGCTAATCTCAGTTTTCTTCCCCTGAGAATAAGGTGAGACATAACCTACTCACCCATTTACACATAGATGCGATTATTGTGATTATTATTTGTCCAATTAAACAAGGCAGTTATTTCCAAAACTCATTAAGATCAAATTAAACCCAATAGTAATAAAGCTACTTCATGTATATGCTAGCTTTTCTCTAGTAAGAAAATCATCCAGTTTCTCTTACTCAAAATTACTTTTATAAGTCTAACACTAATTTTTTTTAACTTTTCCTTCTTTCCTTCTATGGAAAAGTTGTAGTCATTGGTTGGCTCTTTGGTTTTAACAGAAATATTCACTTCCTTACTTGTTTTCTGGTTCTGAGCAAGAGGAAGGACTTCATCCTCTAAATGTCCATCACATGACCTTGCCACATGGGACTCTCCCATCATATTCCACAGAGGTTCTGTTTCTGCTGCCTGGGTATCAGAGGAACCTACTTTACTAACTCTACAATGAAGCTGTAAACCCCTCCATTTTCATAGCATTTGCGTTCCCTCTTCTATATACACACACCTGAGAATAAATACTCTCTGTGCCTGCTGAGGATGTAAATGTCAGTCAGGTGCATAACCTGTCACTTATATCTTCTCCAAATAAGGGACACAGGAGCAAAGAATCATGACAGTGTGCACCTGAGAATTCTTCTCTTTCTGAGTTATTTTTTATACACCCACCATCAAGGTTTAAAATTAAATGGATTGCCTACGGTGAAAAATGTGAAAATAAAAAATTATTTAAAATTACAAAGTATAATACCTCAATTTAGAAAATTCCTTCTCTAATGTTTTTGAAAATGATGGAAAATGGGAGGAACAATGAAAAAGCATCTGAAATTTTCCTCTTGGGAAACAAAGCAGTAGAATTTAGCTATGCCTTCATCATGGTTAACAACAAAATATTGACAGCCCTTCACAGTATGTTACTTTTAGATCACTCTGCTTTAGTTTAAATGCTTTGTATCATGGTTTTCAAATAAATACAAAGTCTTTCTCAAAGATTTATATAGCACACACTCTTCTCAGGAATTCTGTATTACATGAATGCTGCTTATCTATTTTCATATTCTAAACTGTTGTCTTTTCAAGCAAATTAATATATATGTGCATGTAGTCAACCTCGAGAAGTCGTTCAAAGCCGAAGCGCTTTCACAGTATAGTGTGTGGGAAATTGCCTGAGACTGTAACAGAAACAGTGTGTAATTGTCTGAGTCTGTGCATGCACTTTTAGATCAAATGCTGCTGAGTGACTGCATGAGGTACAACTTCCAATGCTGTACATTCTTCCAGAACAACTCTTAGCACAATCTGTGGTAGCACAATTGTGGTAGAATGAAAAGGAACTTTTTCACTCAATAAATTATCATGTGATATATTTTCCTATAATTTGCACGTTAAATTTACTCCTGCCTGATTTTTAAATATTATGTTGGGATTTGTTGAGTGTGTATGGGGAGAGGGCATTACTCATTCTTGAGCTCTACATGGCAATAGTTTCCAGTTCTTACAAGCCCTTTATCACATGCTTAGAAAGTTTTGACTATTTGTCTTCTGTTAGATTCATTGTCACCATCAAGGCATTTGCAAATGAAAGTGCAATGGAGTGTCATATTGATCCTAATAATGCTTTGTGCTGGAAACAGATGGCAGAGGAAGCTTGCTTGGTTCTGATGAGGGTAATAATGCTTCTTTTTCACACTTGGGCTGGCTATACTAATTATCATCAAAATCTCTTTAGGACAGGAATTTTAGCACAGATATAGTTCATGCAGAGGAAGGAGGACATGTAAGGGCACCAGAGCCAACTGTCAACAACAGGCTACCAAGTTGGCCATTTGTTTTACTCGACTTGATGGTTAAAATTGAAAATCCAAGCTCCCTGATGAGTTATTTAACTGATATGGCTAAATTGATTAATATGTCAATTTGTGGCGGGTAGACATAGGCCCAGGATGTTGAGTGTGTGTGTGTGTGTGTGTGTGTGCGCGCTCACACACTTTGCTAGGCATATCTTTTGGTGTGTAAAACCAGTGGGCACTTGTTCTTTGAGATATGCCCGAGTCAGGCCTTCTACTCCATTTTCTCCCAATGACAGTGTTATAAAGGCTTTGGAAATAGTTGAGGTTACATCCAAAAAACTAGTTAACATCTTACCTCATTTTTGGTATTCTCAGTGTCTCAGAAAATAATCTCTGGGATGGCCTGAAAAACCCAGATTCTGATGGAAGGGTGGGCATTTCTATTCAAAATGAAAGATGCCAACAATATACAGTCCAAAGGAAAGATTGTGCTAGCTAGGGTTTATGTATTTGCACTGGTGATAAGTTAGCATTGATTGAATTTGCCATCTGGGTTCATCTGAAAAACCACCTCCATGACTACATCTGATGATTTTCTTTCTAAAGAACACACATAGTACATAGCTACTGTATCCTAAACACATCCACATGAAGGCATCTTTTTCAGGAAAGTGAAATGAAAGCACACAGTTTGGTAGAGAAAAGACACATGCAATATTTGGGACCAGGTCCAATTTTCCATACCATCAAAATCTGCTCTCTAGAAAAAGCAGCTTATCCATCAAATCTTGCTGTTTTGTGACTGCACCAGTGTGTGTGCCCCGGCACAATTCTCCCTCCAGAAAGCCTCCTGTTGCACACACAGCTGGCTCAAAGTGGGAATCTTGAGGAGTCTAGATAGTGAGCTCTGTGGATATTGCTCTACACCTTTCCCTAGGAAGGAACGGTGGGACATTTTTAGCATATGCCTATATTGACTTCTTCAGAATATGTATTTCCATCACAATGGTCATTCTTTCTGTGAGAAAAGCTGTGTCTCTGCCCTTTGTCTTTCAGAAAACAAAGCTTTCCTAAATTACTAGTTGGAAAATAAAACTTAATGAGACCCATTTAGATAATGCCCACAAAAATAATTGTCCTGGTGATGACCAATGCATGGTACTCAAGCTGCCTCAAAACCTTTATAATTATTTTGTCAATGAGCATGCCACTCACTGCCAGGTGAGCCCTTTAGGGCAAATTTTATATCTTTTCTAACAAGTAGGATGAGGAGAGTTTTCCCACTGATTTTGACACAGTGTATTTTTTCATGATTTTTTTTCTGTGAAGAGAGCGATTAGATGGTCCAAAAAATCTGGTGGCAAAGATCAGTGTACAAGCAATGTTTTGGGGATGGTGGAGGGGACATAGAGACTTTTCTACTGAAAAAATAATGTATCTGATTTGAAGATTCTATTTCATTATCTGCTGCACACATACTGTGTCTCCTTTCTGACTGAAAACTGCAATTTAGTTCATCTTTTAACATTCAAAGGAAATAAAGAGTTTTTTATTCATTATCTATTATAAGGTTTATGAAGCTATACACAGTAGCTTAGAGTTTAGTGAAAACTGCAGCTAAAAAATAAATGTGCCAATTTTTAATGTCAAAGATGAAAATGCACTTAAAAACATAAATAGTAGCCCTGGCTGGTGTGGCTCAGTGGTTGAGTGCCAGCCTTTGAATCAAAGGGGCACCAGTTGGATTACCAGTCTAGGGCACATGCCTGGGTTGCAGGCCAGGTCCCCAGTAGGGGGTGTATGAGAGACACCCCCTACATAAATATCTATACTTATGTATCTATAAATAGAGATATATTGACATTGATATATAGATAGAGATATTTATTATTGTTAATCATTAAACATTCCTATCAAACTCTCATAAGAAATTTGAAAGTCAGCTTAAGGGAGCTTTCCTCTGTTGAAATAAAATGAATCAATTTTTAAGCTGGTGTCTTCAGGTCAGCATTCTTGAAAATGGTAAAAAATAAAGGTACATGTAAACCTCAGCAGTGTCGTTCCACATTGGCCCATACCATCGCCTGAGCTCAGTTCTCCATGCATTCTGCCTGATTGTATTTCACTGTTATAAAAAGCAGTTTAAGACTTGCTCATGTATTTTCTTACATGGCAATTACTTACATTAGGACATTAAATCAATACACTATGTGAAATTACTCTTAGCTTTTTAATTTGTCCAAGCAGATTTTGAAATTAGAAATTAACTGAATGCCCTGAACAGTTGTGTATACATTTGCTTTAACATTAAAAATCAACAACAACAAAATAGATATATTGCTGTTTGTGGAAATTCCTGAGGACAAAAAGATCAAGGTAACCCATTAAGTCATAAGGTAACTTCTGTTTTGTGCTTGTGTGTGTGCGCAAATGCGTGCCCTGAGACTTGGGTAGCCCCAATATTACAGGCACTATTGGATGCACTGAAGAGGAAATCATGTTATACAGTATGTCAGACCTGATTTTGACAGTTTCCTTGGTTACTAGGTAGACCTGCTTTAGCCTATTAGTTACTGTAAAATATTTTAGGGTAGACAAGTATTTTGCATCTTATTCCTATCCCTGTGGAAAATGTTCACATTGATCATTTGAATGCACTTCGACCTGAACTTACTTTAAAAAATAATTAAAATAAGTATCTAGCTTAATGATATATCTATGCTCATTCTACAGGTTTTTTCTCTAAAATTAACTACTTTTGTAAATACAGCACTTAATTTACAAGTACTCAAGGGCTTTATGAAAAAGGTCCATAACATTTGGCAATATAACATATCTTAAATTTCCTATTGATATGCAGAAATATCAATTACCATTCACTGCCATAGGCCAGGACTATTTGTTACAGGTTCTAATTAGAGAGCCACTGATTCTCTGACACCCCAGGTGAGGACCATGTTGTGATTAAGTAGCCCAATGTTGATAAGCTTAACCATGTATGCCTTCTGAAAATAGCTGACACTTCAAATACGAAAGGTAAAATATTAGAAAAGTGGGCTTATGTTTGTTGTTCACACAGGTGTTTGCAAATCTACATTGACTTGGTCAGGACATCAGAATAGAGGAGGAAATAATAGCTTGACTTTTTTTAAAGAATTAGAAATAATAAAACCCATTAAGTGGTTTACTATCAATTATAAGTTGCACTTGACTAATTACAATCTTCTATCATTTTAATATATGTCATTGGTAATTTGATTACAAATTAAGATGTTTGAAAATAGATTCTACTTCAAGGATACAAATGCTGGATAAAAGGTTCACTTTACAGTAAACCTACATACCTTGCAATATAGAAATTGAGCACAGAGGTTTCTAAATATACGAATGTATATATGGAAAGCTAAAAATTCTGCCATGTTTTAAAACGATTTCTAAAAGAACAATTAAAGGGAGGCTCCGTTATTTTTTTCTATTTAGCAATAGGATCTTGGAAATACTGTTTGATTAAAATTGTAATATCACAAAAATATTTCAGTAATACCCTCTTTGAAATACTGTTTGCAAGCCCTTTGGTCTGTTGTTAATTTTCCCCTCTATAATAAAATGGTCTAACCCCATAAAGTTTCAAAATAGTAACATTTTTAGTCAATAAGTATTATTTAAATAAAGAGAAAAGCCCTTCCCCTTTCCACTATTGTTTAGAGAATCACAATTGCTTTTCACTGTGCACTGAATCTTCAACTTGGATTAAAATGCTATCTACTTACCAAGGTTTACAGTTATAGACGTAATACTCAACCATAAATATGAATACTGCATTTTTCAGTGATAAACTTGTCTATCTTTACTACAGTATTAATTTTCAAGAATTTATGACTCTCCAGAAAATCATATTTTATTTAAACTTGGCATTGATAAGGCTACTAATTGGAAATGTATGTCATTACTTTAATACCTTTATACCTTATGTTTATCTTGTTATTTCTAATTCTCAAACTACTTCAGTAATTCTTGTACTATGCCAGTATCCTAAAAATCCTCAAAACAGTGAACAAACTTAACTTGAAATGAATACATTAATGAGTACTATTTCCTTCCTTCCTTCATGTAATACAGATTAACAAGTATTAAATGTCCCATGCAGGCCAGTCACAGCGCTACTTACTGTACATGATTTACCTCTGTACATCCTCACAACAGCCCCCTATTTAGTGTGGACAATTTTTGCTCCTTTCATTTTGTAAGTCAACTAAAGTTTAAAAAGTCTTACCAAGCTTAGCCTCTCGCAAACTGAGATAGTTTGTGTAAGAACTTATGTCTGAACTTAAGCTGTTTGAATGTATTCCTCATTTCAATCAATAAGCTGTATTCTTCAAATGGTGACAAAGACAATGCCAGCCATGAAAACAGATTCATTCAGAACGAGTGTAAGAGGCATCAAGGTCATTCCATTCTATTTTTTACCAATATTTGTTGTGTTTAAAACAGAGAGACTGGCATCAAGTTTGATACCTTTTAGGCTGTGCTAGGAACTCATCATTTGTAGCCCCATTTATGGGGGACATCCCTAGTCTGTGGCAAAAAAAAAGTCACAAATTTAACCCATTTCCATGGCTTGTATTGAACTTGGCATGGGACAGATCTTATACTGCACCAGTGGCCTTTACACAGCTCGCAACTGACATTCCTCAGAGCGAGGGTAGGAGAGGTGTGCTATGACTAATCTCTTGACTTTGAACTTCCTGGTTCCCTTTTGCTTTGCTGTGCAACAAAAGTGGGTTCTATACCCTGTGGAAGATGACTCTCCTGTGGATTCCTGTCTCTACCTGAAGCCTTAGAGGTTTGCATGTTTATTCAATTAGAAAGTGAGGTTTATTCAATTATTGTGAGGTTTATGTAATAATATGAAAACATTACTACCTTCCATTTGTAAGTCACTTTATTCTTAAATAACATTTCCAGGTAAGAAAATTTGTGACTGAAAAAAAAGGATCTTAAAAATATTTCTGGTTAAGTATTAACATAGTGCTTTCCAGTAGTTACCTAAAAGGGACAAAAATACCTGTAGGATAATTTGTGAGCAAGATATGTGAGAAAACTTGTGAGTGAAATGAAACACCATATGGTACATTTTGTTTTTGTGCAATTTCAAGTGGAAGCTCAGAATCTTGAAATATGTTCCAAATATATATGCCAGTGAGATTTTGCCCAGATTTCAACATCCACCTAATTTTTTTAAGTTAAAATGTATAGGAATGTCCTAACTACTAAAATGTTTCTAGAAATTTTGTTCCTTCTCAATTTCAAATATTTTCCAAACACACCCCCTTTTTGCTTCCTTCAGCCTTTTTCAAATATATTTTCCATGTCTCTTTTATAACTCTCTTCCCAATTATTTCTTTCCTCCTCTTGTCTTCTCCTATTTGAGAAAAGAAAAGCATTGAGCTGTGGCATATAGATGCCAGTTGTCATTTTTTTCATTCGTCTATGGATGTTCCCCTTCTTTCTGTCTTCTCCCCCTAATAAAACATACTGGTTACATAATATTCCCTGTCTCATGTTTCTTTTAAGGTTTCTTTCTCCTGGCTAACATTTAGACAGCACAGCTTTTGGGAGTCCTTGTCCTTGCCTATTTGGACCATTTCTTCTTACTTGGCTGACCCTGTTTCTAGGTCTCTTGATCTTACCTGGCCACCAAAATAAATATCTGACACCAGCCATAATGTATCTTCTTTCCTCTGACCTAACCCCAGTGGCACTGGTTCTTTTCTTTGCCTTTTAAGAATTTTTTTTTGCTTCTTCCAGAAAATTTTCACTATGTCTCCATTTGTTAACCCACCTTTTGATTTTTTAGTCTTTCTTACTCCAGAACTTTAAAAATTATCTACTAGAATTCAACTAATAAGATCTTCTGCTATGTTAGCACATTGAGCTTGCATGTAAGAGCTGAATGATCAGAATGTAAGTCCTGTGAACAAGGTATTTTGCATTAAAAAAATACCTGTCTGGTGAAATCTCCTGTGGGCTGGTGGGCTATTGGCAAGGCCCTTTTACACAATGCTGTCTTAACAGCCTCCTATAGGACATTCCTTTCTTCTTTATACATCTCCAGAGAAAGACCACACACCTCTTATTGAGCACAGAAGCAATTTTCATTGTAAGGTGATAAAAAAGGAGAAGAAATACAACACTGAATGCCCAAAGTGGGAAAAGTGTTTAGTTATAATTGTTTTCACTAACCAGGAATTCCACTCTCCTCCTGCACTCAGCACAATTATTGTTAAGGCTTGGTTAGGACGGCTGAAGTAGGAGAAATGACTGGAAGAGGACATAAAAATAATTGTGTGGCGAGGGTATTAACAGCAGCTGTGTGTTCCACCTGAAGCTGTGGGATGGGGAGAATGTAGGATGTGTCCACATTTATGTGAGGTATGGGGGTAGGGTAGATGCCGTTCCCTTGTTTCATCGGCAAAGACAGAGAAGCATTTAATATGCTTATCCCCATCCTCAGTCAGCCTCCAAACTCCAAAATATCTGATGGTTAAAAAACTACCAAAACAAGGAAGTTTAATATGACACGAAGCAAAACAAAGAGAATAATTCCTTGTACTATGGTGAAATCCAGTCTTCATTTATTCAAGAAGGAAGTTGCCAGGGCACATAAGGCTTGACTGTTCTCTCTTCAAAGTTTGGATCTTCCAAAGACTATCCTGGGGAACACTCATTTTATTTGTAGATATAAATAAGTATAAATAGACATAGAGATTCTTGTCTTCTAGCAGTGGCAACTACACAAAACTAACCAAAGGCAAGAAGTATGTGGATTATGTGGATCTGTGTGTGTGTGTGTGTGTGTGTGTGTGTGCGCACGCGTGCACGTGTTGCCTTAGAAATGGGTAATCTTCTCAAAGGCCACATTGTCGTAGCTTTTGTCCTTGGGATCATAACCTGAGACAGGGGCCAGGCTTTCTCCTCTGAGTCCGTTCTGTAAGACAGATTCAGTTCTTTGTTTCTGGGTACTGCCATTCTCAAGGTTTTCCTGAGGAATATTGAAAGGCACATATTAGTGAAATAGTCTTGGTGTATTCTAAAACAAATTGAAGGACTCTCGTTTAGGCCTCCTCCTTTGAAAAAATGTTATATAAATATGAAAGCAGCACAAATAACTGACCCATGACACTTTTTAATTGATAACTCTGATGCCTCAATTCATGTAGGTACTATTTCTAATAAAAACAATAATTTAGTGAGCATTTACAATACATTGTGTGTCGTGTGAATATATGTGTGTGTATATATAAAATTATATATAACTTATAATTTAGTGGAGCAAACCTGTGACATACTAGTATCACCTCCTGAGAAGAGACAACATGTGTCTCAGACGGTGATGGCCTAACACGGGTACTGTATGGCAACAGAGCCCAATAGTGGCATGCTAAGTGTCCCTCCCACTCTCTACTCAGCCTTGACAACAGACGCTGCCTGCATCAACAGGATTTATCATTTAGTCCAGGAAATTCTTGCCTAGGAAGATAAATATGTAAACTAATAAGTAACTCGATACTTTCCTTTTGGAGCTTACTCAAAATCCATTTATCCAAACAATATACTGACCAACCAGCTACCTTCTCAGCAAAACAGAGTGCCTTCCCATTCTGAGCTCCTGCCTAGACGGTGCTCGCCTTACTGCGGTAACTATTAAACTCAGCTTTGCTTCATATTGATGTTATTATGGTGTTTTGGAGAGAAGGGGAGCAACTGACAACAGGTGATGTGATAAGGGTGAGGGGCCACTCTCCTAGAGTATTAAAAGAATGACATGTCTGGGACCAAAAGAATGACAATAAGCCCTAACAAAAAAGAAAAAGAAAACCCCACACCTGTCATCAGTCATGCTAAGAGGACCAACACATGCAGGTAAGACCAGCTGCAAATGTGAGAGAAAACATTGCTCCTCCCAGGGTTCTGCAGTTGTCAAACACCGTAACAACTCCAAACACTTGGTGCTCTTTAGCCAACACTGCTCCAGGCAGCTTTATTTTCTTTCTTGCTTCCCTTCCCCTCCTTTCAGGATCCTTTGGCAGGGAGCCAAATCCAAAATACAGTCTTCCCTTTTCTTGAGGACAGCGTTCCCTGGTGCCCCTGGACTGCCCGCACCCCCACTCCATCGAGCTGCATCAGTTAGTAAGTCTAATTTGGTCTGGCCACAGGCTGTGACCTTTGGAGGAAGTGGCCCGAACGGTACTTGGACAGTGTCGCTCGCCCTGCCTGGCCAAAGCACAGCTCTCAGTGGAATCAGGAGAATAAGGGTAGGGGGATGAGAGCACGTTGTGTGTATCCCAATGCTTCTCTACCTAAGTTCCCCCAATAAATCTTATTTTATATTGATACTCCATGGAACTAGAGATGTATGTGTCCAGGTTGTGCTGCACTACTTCCCACTCCCCACCCCTCACCCTCAGTGCTCAGGTAAAAACTGAAGTTGGGAGGCATGAAGGAGAATCAGACATGGAATCCAGGGTAAACTCAGGGCCGACACTAAAGCCCATGCTTTCACCATTATGTGAGACTGTGACCCTATTTTATTCCCGTTCTAATATTTATTTTTATATTATTTCCTAAAATCCACCCTTGGAGGGGTTAAATAAAATTTTGGAAATTGATCATTTGCAAAAACAACGGTTTAGCGCAAAGGCGCATTTAGATACAACATAATTACTTGCTTAAAAGCTAATCAGCTGAGGTAACTGAGGTTGAAACCCAGATTCCTCCAGGTCCTAATATTCATTGCCTTCCCTCCCGACACCCACCCTTGCAAATGGTTTAAATGAGCAAAAGGAAATCTCTTTGAGCCAATGAATGTTTTTCAGAAGCTCGAACACCAGCTCACCTGCTCTGTTCCACCATCGTGCTGAACTCCACACCAGCACAGTGTTTTATATTTTTTAGACCAAAAGCAAAATAAGTTGCAAATGGGTCGAATTAGCATTGGTTGAATATCCTTGCCACTCTGGTGACCTATTAATGAAAGAATAGGTGGATTAGGTGGTTGCACACTTGAAAAGTAGGTCTCTTCTCAGTCTAAGAGCTGTTTTTAAATAGGCCTGACTGGTTAAAAGACAGAAATTGGTAACTGCTCAAAGGGGTGGAAGCTAGTTTTTTAAACATCCACAAGGTGTCAGGTGAGGCAAGCTCATGGCCACAGAGTTAAACAGAAAAACACTTATTTTAAAATATTTTATTATGGGAAACTCTACTAGTACCCTTTAACAAAAGTGACAGCAGGAATTATATAATTTCTTCCTTTAGGAAAGCTCTCAGCTTTCAAGCCAATCAGATATATTAAAGGGCAGTGGAGTCAATATTTGTAAAATTGAAAAGGTTATATTTGCTGTTTCTTCTTTCCACCCCAGCATCCTGAACAAACAATACCCTCATGTTCTCCCCAGCTACTCTAGATTTTCCTGGTACTTCCTTCCCCATCATTAAAACCTAACTGTTCGATGTCCCATTCCTTCAAATCCTACTATAAAACAAGAGTCTGGGCAGCAAAGACTACAGTCTTTAATGCCCAGCCCTTAAGAAAAAAAGTTTGCTGACCTCTGTATCTTTGATCTTGTCAGAGACATTTCCATGATTACATTCTAAATTGTCAGGAATTATATATATATATAAAATTATATAATTATATATATAATATTATATATTATATAATATTGAATATTGAATATTAAAATATTATATTACATTATAAATTAAATGCTTTAGGCTTTGCTGGCCAGAGGGTCTTTTTTGTAGCTACTCAACTATCTCTTTGTAGAATGAAATCAGTCAGAGACAATAGTAAATAAATGGACATCACTGTGATTCTATAAAACACTTTTTATAAAGACAACTAGTGGGTCACATTTGTTCTTAGTCTGCTGACTCCTAACCCAAGAGATAAGCTTAATGAGCTAATAATTAAGGTTTTCATATCTGAGTCTTGCAGCCATATGATAAATGAGGAATAAAAATGGGTAAGATTCAGATCAATACAAATTGTCGCCCAGTGAAAAATGGAATAGAACAAATTTATATGCTCTATTCTCACAGTGGGATGTTCTGGCCATTCAATAAACCAACAAGGATATTAGTTCTTGATATATGAAATGGTATTTTCATTTTATATGGTTAAAAATATAAAGGAAAATAACTTTTAGCTGCCCAGTAGAATTTTACCAATTATAATAAAGACTTTGATGTGTATCTTGAGCCAAGATCACCCTTTAGCAGCTGATGCAGAGAAAAATTAATGATATAAATGATCTGGTAGTATTAATCAAAACAGACATAGTTCTGTTTATCAACATGTATGAGTAACATGAATAGCAAATTTTTAAAGTGCTAGATTATCCAGAAGAAGCAGAATTTAAATTACCACTCAGTAATACCAAGCAAGACAAACAGCAGGACCAAGATAAAATAAGATACAAAATGAGCAGGCCTGCAAAAGGCCTCTGGTCTTCCCTTCTGACTCTTAAACATCGTAAGACACTTTTAAAATATAGGATATTATAGAAGGCTTGCAAAGGCCTCTGAGACTAGAACTGAAAGCATCAAGTCAGCCCTACGGCCTCATTTGAAAGACAGGCACCCAAGGCAGGAATATCTGATGCCAAGAGTAAATGATTTTTCCAAAGATTTGTTGGAGTGGCATAATTGGACTCTCATAAAGTGCTCCCTTTTGGTCTTAAGGATATTTTACTAGTATTTGGGACATTTGCAGAAAAAGAAAACACAGGAATTAATACAAAGACAATTGTTTATACTCAAGATAGCAAAGAATTTTCAATCCAAATGTAATTAATGTAAGTGCTACAATATCAGCTCAAGAACATGTGAATTTTGATGTGCATATAGAAAATACCTAGACTGGGCAGCCACAGGGTTTGGTGTGTGCACACTTTCTGCTTTGGAGCTAGGCAGCTGAAGCTCTGGTTGTCTGCTAAAGCTGTCTGACCACTAGACCGGTAAGTCTAGGGGTATCCTTACCAGCATCAAGGAAGCCTCCACAGTTGTTGGGGGAGTAAGGCAGAATTTAAACACAATAAATAAACAAAATTTCATCTGAATCTAATTTCACAAAGAAAGATATGGGGAGTTTTAGCACATGAATGCCTGGAGTTACAAAATTTATGTTCTATACTACATCATACCCAAGGGTGGCTTAAATTTAAAAGAATAGCTGGTGATATGGTGCCTGGGGTAATAAGTCACCAGAGCTTACACATAGTATATCCAGTGCACAGTCACCCAAATTATTACCACTTAGATTACGTGTTGAGTATGAATCTTGACTTCCTGTTGCCTACAGTTATATAATGGTGGTGGGGAAAAATACAACATCTTAATACTAATTTATTCAGCTAAAACACTCATATATATATTCCAAAGAGGCAGAGTAGCAAAATTACAATGGGCCTGTGTCACCCCATTCTCCCTCACCAATCCCTCATGGGCTTTGGCATAAAAAAGGCATTAAACCATCAGAGGGACAGTGGCTCAAAGTACGAACAGTAAACACTGGTAGCAAAAATGTCTGACAGTAAAGCTGCTTACTGTGCAGAGCTCATGACCCTGCGGCAGTGACCTCCAGAGGACAACATACCCAAAAGTGACAGTAAGACTCTCCTCTGCTTGTATAGCCAATTAGTAAAGGCTAACCCATGAGAGAGCAGAGTGGTCATAGGAAAAACTCCAGTCTCTTACTGAGATAAAGGGGAAAAGAATCACTCCTGATGTTTAACCTTCCTTATTGATTGTTATATCACAAAGGATGTCTCATACTCAGGCTTCTGGAGGCCATGTATCAAAACATCTTTTTTTCATAATATATGGAGGATACTTAAAAATATATGTTTTATATATATTATTAGTTATATGTTATATGTTAATCACGTATTAATCTTCAACATTAGGAATATATGATTAGTAATATATATAAAGAGGGATGTGTTTGCAAGTCACTTTGGAGAGTAGATAGATCTTTGGGAAGGGAAGCTTTTTGTGGTGGATCCAAAATCACACCAGTAGAATAGTCCCTCGTCCACCAATGCATGAAACTAGCCCAGGTCTTTCTTGGCCCCAAAGAGGAGATCCATGCACCCAACCTGTGATGAAGCTGATGATTACTCCAACAGCAATGCAGCCCAGGCAGCCCACTGCACTGTAGTACAGGTAGGAGAGCGAGTACCAGGCGTCAGCGACTGCAGGTCTGTGGAGGACAACAGCACATGTGAGTCCTCAAGTTATGATTCACAGGGACTTCAAGGACTGGACTATTGGGGGTTCATTTTAGGGCCTGGCATCTCTCCAAACTCCAAAGCTTAACTTTCTGCCATTTGATTATTTTTTGAAGACTCAAAGGTAGACTAGTAGTGCTTAGTATTCTACTCTATCCCATCCATCCCCAAATTACAAATATTGCTACTGAGATACAATTGCAATAAAGACCGTGCTTCCAATTCTTTTGTATTATTTATTCTTCAGACATTTATTAAGCCCAGATTTAGTCCCAGAAATTGTGACGGACATTGAAGAGTTATAAAGCCACCTTGAGCAGTGTGGCTCAGTGGGTTGGGTGTCGTCCTGCAAACAGAAAGGTCACTGGTTCCTTTCCTTGTCAGGGCACATGCCTGGGTTGCAGGTCCAGTCCCTGGTTGGGGCCATATGAGAAGCAACCAATCCATATTTCTCTTACATATTGATGATTATCTCCCTTTCTCCCTCCCTTCCTCTCTCTCTAAAAACAAATAAATAAAACCTTAAAAAAAAAGAAAAAGGAGAGTAAGCCACTAAGTCTAAATATAGGAGTTAGCCACCATAAAATGGAGCGGCAATGTCCTGGTGGAATAGGAGCATAAGAGGATTCTGGGAGCATTAGAAAGGGCATCAAACCCAGGCTGATGTATGAAATGATGCCTTAGTTCATTTTAAAAAAGTGGTTACTAGTTGATGAAGCAAAGAAAAGAGGATAGATACTGTAAGCACAAGCAAGAAGGAAAAAACAACATGATAGACTAGGAAACTATAAATCAGTTGATATTGTTTGTGCATAAGATTTGTGGAGAACAATAACTCTAAACTAATGAAACTCAGACAAATGAAAGCAAGACAATGCAGTGCTCATACATTATATGGAAAGGACCACCTACTCAGGAGCATAATTAGGTGTGGAAATGCGAATTTATTGGAGTCAGGCACAGTGCTCCTGGCTTTCTCTCTCTCCTACTCCCTCATTCTCTCCAGATAGATAGGTAGATGGATAATAAACTTTAATACTTATACACAGATATAATGTTTTAAAGATTTTATTTATTTATTTTTAGAGAGAGGGAAAGGGATGGAGAAAGGGAAAGAGAGAAACATCAATGTGTGGTTACCTCTTGTGCCCTACCCTCACTGGGGACCTGTCCTGCAATCCAGGCATGTGCCCTGACTGGGAATCAAACTGGTGACCCTTTGGTTCACAGGCCAGCACTCAATTAACTGAGCCACACCACTCAGGGCTAGATATAATTTTATATCGAGATATAAATTTAATATAATTTAAAATTATATATATAATTTGTATTATTTAGCACTTTCAAAATATTGGTAAAGTACTTATTACTTTCCCTAAAGACTGTAAGAATTCAAGAAGTGACAAGTTACTAACTTGTACAAAGATAAAGTGTGAATAAATTGTAAAACCAAAATCCACACCCAGGTATTTCTGATTTCAAAGCCCAAGGTCTTCTCCCTGCACCCCATATCTCCTGTATTTTGGTATCTTCAAGTACTTATCCCAGCTCACAATTGAAAGGAAAATCCTTTGTTAAGAGTTGTACAGTTTAATAGAAACGACAAATTCACACCACCTCTCCTTCCTCAGTAAATCCCAACCACTCTCTGTGTTGCTCACAAACCTATTCTACTCAAAGCCTGTACTCTTTCAAAAAACACTATGATCTTCAGATGTATTTTCAATCTTCTCACTATTTTATCTGTTTGCACTCATACCTCCAACTTTCCTTCTGCCACATTTACCCTTCCACACCAGATCACAGAGGAATGGAAATTACAGAAAGCTGGAGCCCTACAGGACACTCCACAGTGCTCTGTGCTGCCCAGAGGATGTCCCACAGCAAAGCGACATCTGTCTGCTCAGACTGATTGCTGAAGAGTGCCCCTTCCTCTAACCTGGTGACCCACTTCCTGGGACTTACCGCCATCTTTAGAGGCCCCATACCTGCTAGATAGCACCGGAGCCACAAGCTTTGTCACATTTGATGGGACACACTGGTTTGTCGATAAAGGTAAGGGCCATGTCTTGGAGGCTGGTGCGGGATAAATGAAGGCCCCAGTGGCCACCCAAAATGCCAAGATGATCCCTGTCAGAAGGCCTCCTAGTGCACCCTTGTGAAGGAAAAGAAAAGTTAATGAGAAGTTTGACAAAGCTGTTGAAAGCATGATGAAGTGAAGAGTACTATGCCTCAGAGATTCTGGTTTTCCACCTAAATCTTAGTCACTCGTTCTGGAAACAGCCTTCCTTCCAACTCCCACAATGTATTTTTTATTTAAAAATAATTCATTCCTTAAATAAAAGCACTACATAATTTCCTAGTGATCATTTCAACAGCTGTTGAAACTTTAGTTCCCAACAGCTGAATTTCAGAAGTTTGGGAAAACCTCAGATAATGGAGACAACGTGGTCATTTTTCATTGACATCTATTATTATAAGCTAATAACACAAACTCTTTCATATGCTTTTCCAAGTGATACTAGCAGCCTCTGACTCCCAAGTTTGGAGTGTTGAATCTAAATTCTAGCATATATATTTACTAGCCCTTTCATTTCTCAATAAACAGTGAAAAAAATCACTTCTTCTGCAAAAGAAACAGAACAGTCTAAGCAGAGCCCAGCCCCACTGGAAAATAAAATCTGCATGCTCCTGGATTCTCCTGAATAGCTGAGCCTTCTCTGCAAAAGAAAACAACATGTTTGTTTCTCTATTGATGCAGAATAGAAGTTCTCCAATAACAGCAGTGGAATGTTCTGTTTGTTATGATTTAGAGAAACTAAAACAATGCATGTGATTTGAATGGTTGTAACTTCGTCTAGACTAGAAGTCTGCAAGCATCTATTATAAACAGCCAGCTAATAAGCATTTTAGGATTTGTAGGCCATTCAGGGGCTGTCACAGCCACTCAGTCCTGCCATTGCAGCAGGAAAACACCCCAGACACTCGGTAAACAAAGGAAAGTGGCTGTGTTCCAGTAAAATGTATGGGCACCAAAATGCAAATTTTTAATATTCATATCACAAGACATTATTCTTCTTTTGATTTTGTCCAACAATTAAGAAATGTCAGCTTGCCATTTCTTAAGAAATTTTAGCTTGCCAGCCATAACAAAACCGGGAAGATGGCTGGATTCAGTTTGGAAGGTGCAGTTTGCTGACCTCTGGGCTACTAGTAAAGGGTGAATGGATTTCAATACAAGGCTCCACCCTCACTGGTTTAGAGCAGCTGCCTGGAAAGCCATGCTGAGATTCTGACGTGGCCTCCACGTTTAGTAATGAGATAGCCAGGATGGATTGCAAAGATCTTCCAAGGCCAATGACAAGGGGAAAGGTGATACAAATTTGTAATATTTATTATATTTTATCTAGAACAAGGTGGTTTTCCTGACTAAATAGAAGCACCACTATTCACTGACATAGATAACAAATTAATGTTTAGAATGCATTAAGATATTATGTAGCTAGTTATCAGTTCTTTTGTGGCTAAGAAATTGCCTTCCTTCATACTGTCTCACCAAGGATATAACTATCCTTGTCAACTTCAATATCAGAAAAGTTGATTAAAACCAAGTGTCTTCTAATAAGACAGCAAGTGAAGGACTGCAGATTCCTAGATGTTCCCTACCTATCCACTCCCCTCCCATAAGATTTATCTAGAAGAGAGATCAATAATGGTCAAGTAGTCACAGAGACCCAATTAGGTATACCTCATTTGATCAGGCTTTGTGGACAACTGTATACTATATTAAAAATATGCAAGGTCAGGTTTTCTGGAGTCTAATTTTCTAAAACTTTATGTATATAAGTATATACATGGAAATATTAAAACTATCAACTTGTTAGATTGAAAAATTGTAATATTTAAAAGATTTTTAAATATTATTATTTTTCCAAATAAATGTTTATTTTGATTTATACTTACTACACAGTCATCCAACCAACATTTACTTAAGGACAGACTATTAGCTTGCCAGCTAGCAAAACCAAGAAGATCCAGCTCTCAGAGTATACAGGGTTTGTCTCCTCTTCCCTCCTTAAATTAGTTCATTATAACATAAGTAAAAAAAAAATAAAAAAAAGAGATGTACATATTTTTTAAGTTTTAAAAATCATGTTTAAACTAAAGTATTTCTGAATTCAATATCTATTTGAAATTTCATTGTGCAGTCCCTTACTTTAGAGAAGACAATTTAAACCCTGAGGAATCATCTTTGATGGCGTGACAGTTGATATTTCACAACCACCTCTCACTGGCTTCGCTTTCCACTTCTAAAACAGCTTCACTGAGTCAGAGATAGGAGGGCTCAGGTTTTGTTCAGTTCTATGGAAAGACGCCACTCATTTTGTCATTTTGTTTTGGCAAGGACAAATGGCCTTCCCATGGAGGAGTAAGAGTTGAGAGAGGAGAGGGGAGTGCAGGACCCTTACCTTCCAGTTCACAAAAGGAAACACGATCCCCAGCGTGAACAAGCCCAGCATCGGCCCCCCACACATGCCGTGGATGCTGAGTGCAGCCTGCAGAGAAAAGCAGGTCAGAATCACAGCTTCGTGACCTACCTGGGTCCACCTCTTTTTTAGATGGGATAAAATTCAATCCTACTCCTGACTGCACCACTAATTAATCACAGGCTTTCTGGAAGTCACTGCTCCCTTCTGCGTTCAGTGGTAAATATTGTGTTAAAAAATAAAAATACATACAGACATGTGTGCATGTGCATACACACTCAGGTAATGTGGATTTGGTAAAAGTAGTTTTCTTTCGAGTTGGAACTCATTGATTTGTTTGTGTTTTCCATCTTATCAAAACCACGTTTTTATATAGTGTACCAAATAAGTACACCTATAACACATTTCATATCTTATGTAGTTGACCAGCTGTTTGAGCAATCATCTTATTTTCATAGCAATTGCCTGTCACTCCACCTCTGACATCTTGTACAAAACACCTCAAGGAAGCTGAAGCATTGAGGTATGGAGGGAGGCCATAGGACACTCATGTCCCATTCCCCTCCTTTACGGCTTCTTGTGGGAACGGAATTTGATGAATGTATTTCCATATCTTTTAAACTCTAAACTATTGAGCCCAGTGGAGTGGCAAAGATTTTTCATTAAACTAATTTGCTGTCAACTTATAGCCTTGTTCCATGGCCTCTTTGAACAGCAGACACAGTCGTTCAGGCAAACATGCATGTTCATGCACACAGAGCTACTCTGCGATCAGCCCTGTCTCATTCCATTAATGCAACTCTAGGGCTCTTAAATCAAGGGGCTGAGATGAGGATGTTCCAAAGATCTTACATATATGGTATCTCATGGTTGTCAGATGCCCCCTATATGCCAGATCATAAGGATGAGCTACTCAGGTGCTCTAAATAAAGGACCTCATTAATCCTTAAAATTGCCCTTGTAGTAGGTAACACTAATGCAACTTTATAGATGAGAACATTGGACTGAGAGAAACCATAGTTAAAATAAAGGCATATTCCATCTAGACAGAGGCAGAGGTGAGATTTAAGAGTTTTAAGCCATTTTGTCTGGCTATAAAACCCACATTTTCTTTTCAAAAAGGAGTGTTTAAAAAGAAACAAAGTTAAGAGCATAGATCACCATAAGGGCCTTCTTTTTTTTCACTTAAGGGAAAAATTTCTTGAAAGAGTCCATCACTAATAGAATATTTAAATTCTAATGTTGGCCCGGGCACACAAAGGTATGATTTAGTGAACTTTCTGTTAACTCAGGTTCATTCTACTTTGGAGAGACTTCTAAAAACAATAAAGGGACATGACCAAGGGGCTTTCGAACCCCCTCCACCTGCATTGCAAGTTCTTCTGTCCAGAAACAGGAGATGGAAGGCAATGTTATGAATGTTTTTCCAGGTTAATTTTTAGAGAACTCAATGCCACAAATAAATCTTTCATAAGACAGAGGCTGATAAGATTAAAGCTGATACTTTTCCAAAATGTAGATACTTAATATAATATTCTTGACACTTCCTCTGTTGACTGACAGCATTAATTCATAGTTGCTATGATTGATGAATTTGGAAGCTAATTTACTAGGTATTATATGGGAAAGTCAATTCACTAAAAAAAGTACTTATCTTTCCCAGTAAGGGAAAAATTAAAAATCTCTTACAAATTCATTAGTTTCAGGAAAAATAAAAGTCTTATGTGATAGAAAGAAAAAAATCTAAGAAAGTCAGTAATTATTATCCACTCACATGTATTCATTTTTTTTGTTTAAGCAACACTTATTGAAAACCTATGCCATGCCAAGAAAACATAAAGAATCTTCATATAATACAAAGATAAAGAGGAATTGAAAGGGTTGAAGTGGATGGAATCTGAAGGCTTGCTTCTCTGTTGTTGCTTTGTGAGTTGGGCAGTCTGTGAAGGGATGAGGTATTATACCTCAGGAGTCCAGGTTATAAACCTGGTTCAGCTACTAACTGGCTGTGAGCACTTGAGGAGGATATTTCTACTCTTTTCTCTATTTGTCTACAAAAGGACAATGATAAAACAGATTATCCTTTAGGCTCCTTTTAGTGTGGGCATTTCATGGAACTGAGAGTGGGACATGTGGGGGACAGTTCAGGCTGGATGATAGGTAGATACTTGATGAGTCGTGCCCCAGCTCCACTCTCTAATTATGTGACTTTGAGACCATTACTTCACCGCTCTACATTTTAGTTTCTTCAGCTATAAAATCAGTAGATTAATCAAACTACCCTCTAGAGAAGTGATCAAGATTAAGTGAGGTAATACATTTGAGACTCTACCTAGATTATATAAGCCTTTCATAAAATCAATTGTTTTCATTGTCATGATTATCATTCCTACTTTTACTTCAGTGTCATAACTTCTCAGATCTGAATTTTAAAGTTTATAATTTTATTACAGTGTACTTTGTCACCGAGTCCCATTATTAGTTTTTTTTTTAAATAGTTTGCTCTTCTGAAAGCAATTTTGGTTGAAATTTTATCCGTATGTCTAATTTGGATCTGGCATCAGAGAATGGCTTGGAAAAACAGGAAAAACATTAGAACACAAAGTGGGTAAAATGTAGCTATGAAATTAAATGTGTTTTTTTCCTCTTTCATTACCTGTATGATGCTCCCCATGAGGGATGCAGCCACAGCCATGGAGGTACATATCACACCAAATAAGATACCTGAAAGGATAAAAAAACCTCATTACCATCGCCCAACCTGGCTTTGTAGGGTTGCTTTAGCTCCTGCCCAGAACTCCCTCTGATGCAAGCCCAATCGGAAGGGATGTCAGTAAGAACTGACCTCAGCCATCACAAGCCCCAGGAGGAGCATTTAGGAGATTTTTCTCCCTGGAACATGCTATCTTAGGTCAGGTGGAATGAGCTGGAACCTAGTGTCAAGTAGTTTCCTATGGAAGACTCAAGAAGAAAGCTGTCAGATGAAAGCAACATGAAACCGTGGGAAGGCCATTCATCAAGGCTGATCCAAACAGTGGGAACTAATTCCACTTTGACCAACAAACACTCACCTGAAGAAGTTACTAACTCCTCTGGGATTCATATAGTTTTACAGCTTGAAAAGCATTAAACATTTATACATTTTATCTTACAAGCTTTGCAAATCTGGACAGTCTTGCTGGTTGTTTCCCTAAGTGATTTATTCATACTACCCTCATGGCCCTTGGCATATAGCATACTGGGCTATTTGTTCACATATCCGTGTTGGACAACCACCAGAGCCCTCAGGGTGCCGTGCTCTGAAGCACCTCGCACGGTGCTTCTAGTACCACAGGGTCTTGTTGCATGAATCAGCATATATCTCTTAGTCATTTTTTAAAGATGATGTCTTTTTTAAATCATCATCTTTTAAAAAATAATTGTTTTAGTACATCTTTGGTCAAAAATCACCTTAAAAGTACATTTCATACCCATTATAACTCATAAACTAAACAAGAGAGGGAAAGAGAGACAAAGAGGTGGAGCTAGACATCCATGGAAACACAATGACAGAAACAGAGAGAAAGCAATTTTGCTCATTCTCTTTGAAATTCTCTGTCAGCTAAATATCTAGATCAGTTCCCAATGACTATTAATGCAACTTTACTGAATATGGACCATGTGTCAGGCACTTTACCAGAGGCTAGTACTATAAAAGGTCAGAACTTGATTCCTGCTCCAAAGATCTCACATTCTAAAAAGGAACTGCATGTTAAAAAATTAATATATCTAGCAGTGCCTGATACATAGCAAATACTATCTGTTTTCTATTATTATTATTATTGTTCTTATTATTCTATGTCAGGGTTAATACATGATAGTTATGATGCTTATTATCAGCAAGTCACTCAAAAGGAAATCAGGCTAACATCTTTTTATATTGGATTTTCCAGCTTCTCAATAAGACACAGAAAAAGAAGGAAACTCAGAACAATACTAAAAGCCAAGTTTGATCAATAAATACATTTCAGAATTCTAAATTTGTTCCTATTACATTTAAAGATGATAATTAGATTGCAGAAAACAATGTTTTCTTTGATTCTGTATTGCTTTATGAATGAGGACTTCACCTACCTGAAGAAAATGACAGGACATGTTTTCTCTCTACTACTGATTATCCTTTGGTGCACCAACAGTTACATATTCAAGTGAAATAATCAGCAGCCATCCCTCAATCAGGGGTTCTACCTTTTTTTGTGCTGACTAGAGAATTGATTCAACCTCTCCTGCACTGAATACTTATACTTCAGAAGAGTGCTATCAATAAGAACTGCAAGGCAAAGCAGTAAAGGTGAGTGGGAAAGAAAGCTCCACAGTTGCAGCTAATGTTGTGGATTGTGCCAGTGCTACATCAGCTCAGAGGATCAGACAATAAACCATGGGAATAAAAGAAACTTGTACTCAATCCAGCACATTCATAAATATCTGCTAGAAATTGGGAATTGTACTGGGAGTAATGCCCATCCACCTGCTGTTAGCTCTAACTCATTATTCAAGATAAGTAAATAGACAAAGGCAATTTAATTAACCAGCTGACAAACATGTGGTAAGGTGTTGATCTGTCCTTGTTCAAGCATAAATCAAAAGAAACAAATCATATGAAATTCATGGCAAGTGCTGTCAAACAAGGGAATAAATACATTCACCTAAATGCTCAAATAAATACTACACTTTCTGGAAATAATTTACCTTAATGACCAGAAAAGAAAAATACTTATAAACTCTTTGGCAAACTTAATATAACATAAAAGTATACAATCTCAATGAAGCAAACAACAGAGAGGGCAAGAGAAAACCAATGAAATGAAAAGAAATGAGATAGGGGGCACCACCAATATGTTAGGTAAAGATGGATCCAGGTGTGATAAGGAAAGACTACAAGGAAATAAAAACCATGATAGTGGACCAAGCACTTCCACTCTTAGGTACTTTTCAAAAAAAATAGATTGTATAAAAGTATTCATAGCAGCTTTATTTATTATAACCTCAAGTTGCAACAGCCCAGGTCCACCACTAGAAGTAAAAGTTTTAAAAAAATCTGTGAGAGACCCTGACCAGGTAGCTCAGTTGGTTAGAGTGACATCCTGTTATGTCAACGTCACAAATTTGATCCTTCATCAGGACACATACAAGAGTCAACCAAGGAATGCATAACTAAGTGGAACAACAAATTGATGTCTCTCTCTCTTCCCCCTTCATTCTCTCTCTTAAAAAAAAAGCAAACAAAACTCACAAACCTACTCTATATCCATACAATGCCATACTACTCAGTAATGGAAAGCGATGGACCATGAATACATAAAACAACGTGAATAAATCTCAAATTTGTTGAGTGAAAGGAGTCTTACAAAAAAGAGTGTGTACTGTGTGATTCCACTTACATGAAATGTGAGAAGAGGTAAAACCAATCTATTGTGGAAAGTATTTGGGGGAAGGGGAGCAGGGATTGGCTGGGATGAGCAAAAGGAAGCTTTCCAGGGTTATGACAGTGATTTATGTCTTTAGTGGTTGGTTTGCACAGGTGTGTGAAGTTGTCAAAACTCAGCAAATGCATACTTAATATCTGTCCATTTCATGCAGGTAAACAAATACCATATGATCTCACCTATAAGTGGAATCTAATGAACAAAATAAATTAATGCACAAAATAGAACCACAGGCATGAAAACATGGAGCAGACTGAAAGTGATGGGGGGAATCATGGAAAGAAGGGGAAGGGACTAGACAAGAACATGTATGAATGACCCACGGACATGGACAATAGTGTGGGAATTGACTTTGGGAGGGGATGGGTGGAGGAGGGCTAAGGGGAAAAAATTGAGACAACTGTAATATAATAATAAAAATTATTTTAAAAAGAAAACTGTAAACAGTTACTTAATTCTAGTTAATAATATGCATCTAAAAAACTAGGGGAATGTATTTAAATATGATGGATTATTAAATGGATAGAGATCTAAATGGATATGAGGAAAAATTAGTTTAGAAAAATGTTAATGGATGATATATATATAGGAATTCATAGTAAAAGGCATTAAACCTTGTTGCATGATACAATTTTTATAATAAAATTTAAGGGGCAAAATATAATAGCAGAATTTAAATGATTACAGTTAAAACTTTACTTTGTGGAGAATTCAGAATTAACTGAGGGAAAATTTTTCTTAAAGTATGAAGAGTTAAAAAACAAAGCTATTGAAATAAGAGAAAAACTGAAAAATATAAAAAACAAACAACCTAAATTTGAGAATAAGGAGAATAAAGCTACCAATATTAGTAGGCAATGACCATACTTACTAGAAAGCCAATTAAAATTTGGAAATCAACAATAATTGGGTAAATGGAAGGATATATGCTTTATAAGACAAAAACAAAAAGCTACAGCTTTTCCGCATTGATTATACACAGTTTAGGAGAGATGGAGAAAGCATCTCATTCACAACATCAATGGAAGAAGAAGAGGAAGAAGAAGAACAAAAGAGGGGGAGAGAGAGGGGAATAAGAAGACATCAAGGAGGACAAGAAGGAGGAAGAGGAAGGCATGAATATCATTAATATCTAGGATCAAAATTATTATATTATTAAATGGAAAAAAATTAATGCTATTGTTATATGTAAATCTTACAAAGGTGTCAATTCTTCCCAAATGCATTTTCAGATGTAATGCAGTCCCACATGGGAGAGTGCAGTTAGGTAACATGCAATACATTTTATTTTAAAGTTATGCTGAAAGAAAAGCTAAACATAGAGAGCAAATTTTCTTGTAAAAAAAGTAACAATAAAAACATTTTTTAATTTTAAACTAAAAAAACAGGTGACAGAATTAGACAGATATAATTTTATTTTAAAAGTTTATATATTTTTCCAAATTACCTATATTTCCTATAATAAGTAAACAAGAAATTATCTGTTTATACTTAGAAGTCAGTTGTATAAAACTATAATTAAGATAATAGGTATTATAATAATTATAAATATAATATACAATCACACAATTAAGCAAGGAGAAATTATTCTTTGAGGTGATATTGCTGGGAGTTTGGCAATAAAGTATTTAGATTTATTAGACAAAGTGCCTGGCTGTAGTGAGCAGAATAATATCCTATACAGAGGAATTAATATGATCAATACATAGCACAATCATTTCATAGCATAATCACTAGATATTGAAGTGATGAGTCCAGAATGTAGGGCAAGCACAAAAGAGTGCTGAAAGTAAGGGCGGTGAAAGGTGAGCTAGCTGGCCATGCTTTCCTGGTACCCTGCTGGTATCTTTGCAAGAGTAAGAATCTGCATGTGAGTTTCCTTACGTATCTCACATGCTTTTGTGCCTGTGTTCTGAATAGCACATGTAGGATTCTGACATGTACCACACACATACATTTCATGATATGGGATGGAGATTCACTGGCTATACCTACATAAGCCTTTACTGATCCAGGTGCTCAGCTTGTCGGAGAGATGGGGAAAACAGCTCTTGACAAAATCCTCAAAGGTCACTGTTGCTAAGGCATTGATGCTGGCAGCCACGGTGCTACAGGGAGAGAAAAGTGAGAACACGGTCCAAGCTAAATAAAGCTAAGCCACCAGCCTGCCCTGTTTTCCAGGGCAAATAGATAAGGCAGCACTCTGGGACAACAGATGCTGACATACATCCTCATTCTGGAACTCCAGGGGAACCACATGTCCTGTCTACTCGCTCTTCAGAGCTGCTTCTCTGCTTAATGCTCTTTCAATTCTCCCACAGACTCCACTGAACAAGCTAGATTTTCCTGTTTTAACTCCCACTCATTTCTCTTAACAAGATGTTAAATGAGTTATCAAGCAGTAGCAGAGAGATTGCATGTGCACATATGTGTGTGTGCTTGGGTGTGGTGTGATGGCGGGCTTAGGTTAGACTTGAAGCAAGATGCAGAGACTATCCTAACTAAGGTGTCAGTTCACTTTGCCATTCATTATACTAATTAATGCATTAATAACATTCATGCATCTGTTTGTTCATGCTGGATACTAGGCATATAATAGTGAATGAGCAAAGATCTTCCACTTGTTTTGGAGGCAGGGACATTTAACAAGCAATTGTGTGATTGATTAACAATTGTATAAACTGTTATGAAGGAAAATAACAAAGTGCTAAGATAACATGTCTTGCAGAGACCTAAACCAATATGAAGTTAGGAGATTTTCACCTTTGGAAGTTATGGTTAAAATAGGAACTGAAAACACCCATGCAAATTGAGAAAAAGATGTTCTAGAACAAAGGGAAAATTACATTTAAATGTCTGAAAGTTTGTTGCATTCAACAATCTGCAGCCATCAGAGCAGCTAGCCAGCAATCAGTAAGGGGTTAAAGGACAAAAGATAAGGCTGGAAAGGTATCAAAGACCTAAATTTATAAAAGCTCTGACTTTCCCATTAGAATTCAGTTTTATGGCTCTAAAACTCACTTAGGTGAGAGAGGACCTGAAAGTTGTCATTTTCTTTGCAGAATACACAAAAGCTTATTGAATTCCTTATAGAGGCCAGGAATATTTCAGCTAGTAGAATAGATAACTATGTAAATTCACATGAACCAAAATCACAACCACAAACAAAAGTTCTAGAAAACTAACAAGATGTTGAACAAAATCTAGCCAACCATTTGTAAGTTTTCCGTTGGCATTCATTATTAGGTCTTTTGTTATCCTCCAATTCACATTTGAAGACTTGTTATAGCTGTGCCAAATGTAATAAAGAAAATTGAAACTTCTTTTTTTTGGTAATGCTGGATAATAGTAACTAATCTTAGCTGTGGGTTACTTCAGTTGGAATAGTTCCAAGGGTCCATCTTATGCATTATTTAATAGTTCCATCCCTAAATGATAGATATAGTAAGTACAAACTTTCTAAGACCCATTTCTGGGAATTGAAACTCTAAGTATATATCATTCTTATTTTCCTGAGAATCAAGGCCTGGTATATGTTCCCTGCAGCTTCATGGAAGTCAAGTAAGGAAAGCAGATGATCAAATAAAAGGAGCACCCATGCTCCCAACACGCATGTCTCAGAATTAATTACGTGAAAATTGCAAATATCATAGTTAACCCTTGAATCCATCGTGAAGGAAGGAACAAAAAGCTGAATTTGGCCCAGAAGGATCAGATTTTTAGAACTTCTGCTGGGTTGCTTTTGCAGTCAGTTGTATTAATCATATGTCGATTTCTCAAATTATAAAACTGCTATAAGATGGTAGAAAGTTTTTTTTCCTATCTCTCCACCACTATGTCTTTATCCTATTCTTGCCTTCCCCTTTGCCTAATCCAATACTCTCCTGAACATTATAGCAGTAATAGTTTCTCTATGATATACACTCCTAAGGGCATCTCTTTCTTGGAATCTTTAAGGGGTTTAATCTGTTGACAGCTGTATTTCAGGAGTCTGAAGAAAGGCGGTCATGGAGTAAGACAAAAAAAAACAAAGAGCACTCTCTGGAAAGGCTAGTGCCACCCCTGCTTGTGTGTGATCCTCCAGTACTCATTGGTTCCATCTTTAGTTTCCTCGAGGTCCTAATGCCAGCATCACAGGCAACACCACCTTGTGTTGCTAATTTAGAATTCTGAAAAAACAGAGTAAAATACTCAACAGTATGCTAAATTAAAATTACATTAGCAAGTTGCAGTCATTATATGGATTCAAGAAGTTTCTAGTTTGAAAATTTGTCAACACAATATCAATATGTCAAAGCATAAAAATTTTCAAAGTATCTATTTTAAAATTTCCAAAATTTTACCAAAATTCAATATCCTCCTTTGTAAACATATTTCCTAAAAGTACAATAAATGTATGCATTTTTGTCTTTTTTTACAATTTTATTAATTTATTTAAATATTTAAAAATGTATATATCTTTCAAATCAAAATCTAAAATCATGTTTAATGATAGGATCCAAGAAATATTCCCTTTAAATTACATAACAAAACAAGGATTTTTGCCATTCCTCAATTATCATTGCCCTCAAAGCACAGTTATATGTGAGAATTAACATAGAAGCATACTTATTTAAAAAAAGAAAAACACAAAAATATTTGCAGATATGATTTCAGTACAATCAAGTCCTAAAAAAATTAAAATAATAATTGAAAATAATTAGGAAAAAATAGATATTGAGGGAACTTCTGCAAAAGAAAGGTAATTAATAATTATGAGCCTCACAGTTTTCAAATCATATTTTAAAGCACACTTGCTAAAATTATTAGAATTGGCATAACTGTAGACAAATAGATCAAAAGAATATAAAAAGGAATCCAGAAGAAGTCCTGAACACATGGGAAAATGTAGGATGTACTAAAAGTGACTTTTCAAATCAGTAGTGAGAATGGTTTTTTTTTTTTTTTGGTTTTTAGTGAAAAAATAATGGGACAACTGGTAACTAACAGAAAAAATATGGGTCAGAAACTCCATTCCTCATGTCACATGTGTAGTCTAGATCATTTAATAATTTTAACATTTAACAAAAGCATTAATATATTAGAATAAAATCTGTGTGATCATTTATAATCATGGCATGGGAGCCTTTCTGAGAAAGATATTAACTAGAAACTGTAATGTGAAATAATTGATTAATAAATATGAAATAAAATCTCCATATACTCAAAATACCATTAATAAAGCCAATGCATAAAGAACAAATGAGAAAAACAAGACATGTCAAAAAGTATTTTCGGATTTATAAAGAGGAAAATTCAAAAGAAAAAAAAATTCCTGGGTAAATGAATTGGTATTTTTCAAAACAAACAAACAAAAGAAAATGAATGACCAATTAAATTAGGGAAAGGTTGTCAATCCTATTTATGATGAAGGGAATTCATAGTTAAATTAGTTAACATTTTTCAACTATCAGGCTGACAAGTTTAACAGTGTCATAGTACTCAATATTGATAGTAGTGTGGGGAAAGAGTTACACTAGTGTTTTCTTTTCAGTATATAAAATAGTACAAATTTTTGGAAGTTAATTTAGCAATGTCCATGAAAAGTTTTAAATAAATATGTATTTTGACACAGTAATTCCACCTCTTATAATGTAGCCTACATATATCCTTGCACAATTTCAGAAAGACATACAATGTGGTGTGCTATGTCCTGCCAAAACTCTTATATTGGAACCTAATTCCCAATGTACAGTATTTGGAGGTGGGGCCTTTGACACTCAATCAGACCATGAGGGTGGAGCCCTGATGAATGGGATCAGTGAGAGACCACTAACAATACTCGATGGAGAGCTCCATCCTCCCTTCTAAGGTGTGAGGGCTCAGCAAGAAGACAGCCACATTTGAACCAGAAGGTGTGTCCTCACCAGACATCAAATCTGCCGGTGCCCGGATCTTAGACTTCCTAGCCCTGAGAACTATGATTAATACATTTTCATTGTTTATAAGCCACCCAGTCTGCGGTATTCTGTTACAGCAGCCTAACAAACTAACTCATACGCATTGTTAGTTATGCTTTACATCAAAGGACTGGTAGATCAAACAATGAATAGGGTAGATCTACAGATACAGAAAGATTCTTAAATTATATTAATTTAAAAAATGGAATAGTATAAACAATGTGATCTCTTTCTTGTACACTAAAAGGTACATATGTTCACATAAGTGAAGACATGTTCTGATTTGTTAACAAGAAATTACTAACAGTGGTTAATTTTGTGGGGTGGGTCAAGGGATTTGGAGGATAAGATATAGTTTTTACTTTTGTCCTCTGATACTGCTTGAATTTTGATCAATTTACTATGATCAACTTACTGATCAATTTACTATGTTAAACTTGGCCTTTAACCAATCCTGTAATTGATCCTGTGCAGCAGAGTTCCAGGAAGGGAAATAAGACTTTTCTCTCTAGCCGAGTCTCTGGTTCTTAAAGGCAGTAGGTCTGGCTTAAAGGAAAGTAATGACACTACCTTACTGCTTTAGTGCATTGCCCTTAACACTGTTGCCCCTACCCTTGTCCAAGTCACTGTCATTTCTCACTTGGATGAAGACAAATGCTTCCTAACGAGTCACTCACTTTTACTGCTCGGGCTTTTATTGTAAGCCCTTCCCCACACAGAAAACTGAGTCTTCGATTGTATGACATTACTCACTCCTATGTTTTGAACCTTCTAATGTCTTCCCACTTAATTTGAAATGCAAACTCTACCATTTCATGATCAGATGCCTGTTTACGTGTTCAAACTCATCCCCATCTGCTCCCCTCCCAGTTCCTCAGCTTTAACCCTTCTGTTTGTTCCTGACATTTCCACACAGTTTCTTTTCCAGGGGCTTTGGAATTTGCTCCTCCCTCTGCCTGTAAGCCTGCATGTGCTCTTCATGGAGCTAGCTGCTTCACATGCTTCCAATCTCATCACACAAGTCACAGACCCAAACAGGGGGCACCTAAAGATGCTGTCTTAAAAACAGAATCCCCCAGGCCTCACCTCTCTCTAGGATATCACTCTGTTATTTCCTTTATATTATTTGTCATGACACTATATCTTGTTTATCTTGTCCTCTTATATATTGTCCACTTTCTATGTCAATTAGAATGCAAACTCTATATGAGGGCAATGCCAGCCTTGTTCTCTGCAGTATCCCCACATCCCTGCCATCACCAATTGTGCCTGGCATAACATAAACCTTAGAATAAAATCTACCTATGGAGGGTGGGAGTTGTTAGCTGCCTCAGTGCGCTAGTGAAAATGGGGAGAATGGATTGCAAAGGATGGATCTGCAGATATACATCGTGGCTGGATGGCAAATGCTGCCAGAGTGAGCTGCCTAGTGTAAAGGTGGTGTGCAATTGTGGGGTCAGTTGCCATTAGACAGCGTTAGTAAGATAAAAGAAAAGTTTAATGTGCAGGCACACCTAGGTTTATGTCCTGCCTCTGCAGTTTCCTATGTCCCATGGGTAAGTTGTCTGCCTTGCTAAATGTCAGTTTTCTTATCTCTAAACTGATGATATTGTGAGCAAAGTTTCATTCTCATATATAGTGTAACAACTAACAAGCAAACACAAATAAAGCATTGAGCAGCACAAGTTGACACACAGTAAATACTCGTTAAATACTAGTGATTTACTACCACTATCACCCAATCACCCTTGTTGCACTGTCATTATCATTGCAGCAGAGTGCTGTCAATGCACTAACCTCAGAGTTCCACTGAAGGCACAGGACACAAAAAGTCCTGGCAGTCCAGGCATTGAGGCAAATATCTCCATGACAAAATATGGCATCAGCTGATGAGGAAGCAAACAAGATAGGGTTAGAGGTCTCATCACCAGTGTCTGAACTGTGCAAATGTAGCTTTTTAGCAAAAGGAAGTGAAAAAATACACAATTAATATTAACAGAGGAGTTTGCATGGACTTAGGTTGTTACATACTAGCAAATGAGGTTATGACCAATCCAATTCCATGGACCTGAGGTCCCTCTGTAGGGAAGGGGGAGGGGCAGAAAAGAGACAGAAAAAAGGGCTGGACAAACTTTAGGAAGCTCAGAAACTTTAAAAATGTTTCTTTTGTTTGCAATGTATGATATTTTCTTATCTGTTTACCCTTAAATTTAGTAAGTAAAGCATAGAAACAAATGCTTAAAGCAGGTCTTCAAGAAATCTAGGTGCTATGGTTCTACTTTGTAGCCTGATTTGTGAGAGAGAAGCCCCATAAGATAGGGTAAGACAGTGGAAGATATGGGGGAAGACAGACGAGATGACTGGTCCTCCTGAACATTTGTCTACAAAGGGAATTTTTAAGAGAATGTTTAGTGGAGTACATCGGGGTGATACTGTTTAAGCTATGATGAGAAGACATGAGCTGAAGCATTAGAGGAATATGGGTCATTTTGTTACATTTGAGACCAAAGCACCATTAATCAACCTTGAGATGTCTACAGAGAGTTGAAAGGTAGCTTTGACAACCAAACCCTTTAGTTCAATGTTACCTTTCTTTGTCTGCAGCCTTGCCCTAGCTCCTGGCCTCATCTTCAAGGACAAGGTGAGGTACCTTTTTTATTTTATATGTCTAATCCCTCATATTAGAACCTAAGGTGTGGTGATATCACCCAGGAGGAGAGAAAAGAAATGTAGTCTTTTGGTCCACGTGGAAAAAGAAGAAGACCTCACATTACCCATCAATGGCTAGAAGCACACTCATTTTAGCTGTTCCCAGGGGCCAGACAGAAATATGTACCTGGTCCGGTGCTGAGACAATGCCAGAAGTCCAAGGGTCACAGTCTTTGAAGTAGCAGTACATGATTAAGCCAGAGAAGACAGCACAAAACAGAATGATCCAGAGACCCAACAAGTTGAAGTACAAGGCTCTAGAAAAAAACACACAGGTCTATTGGTAGCCTCTATTACATATTACAAAAACTCAAGGTGAAAGCTTTTTTGGCCTTCTTGCTTTAAAATAAAATGTTACAGCCTTCAAGAATTATTACATTTTATACTTTTGCTCTTGTTTTTGTTTGAGAACATTACAGTTTTAGACTGGTTACAAAATTTGATTGAAGTAGATTTGATGGATTTTTTTTAATTGGGAGTTTTTCTGCAAAGTCTCAATGTGTGGTGTGAAATCTATTTTCTTAAATGAAATTTCACATAACAACCACTCACGTATAACTTCAACTGATGCCCCTCCCAATCAATTCAGGAAACTGTCAAAAAGCCAACTTACATTTTAATATATTTTCTTCCAGAGGAATAAGAAAGTGAATGCAGACACAGATAAGTTTTGGAAATACTCACTTTGGGGATTAATTCAGATGAAATGTGAAGTTGACGGGTTTTTTCATTTGTTTGTTTGTTTGTTTGTTTTTGAGAAAATAGAAAGTGTGAAGAGCCTTAAGGTCATTTTATCCATATTTTTGGGAGCAATTTGTTTTATTCTAGAGCACATAGATATGCTTAATTATAGTTATGCATATGATTTTGCAGCAGCCTATGGTTATTTTGTATTTATTACTGTCATGTGAAAGTAAAAAACTTACTCATTTTCTCAATCTGAAAATAGACTTGAAAGCAGGCTAGCTTTGCAATGCCTGAGAGAATAAAAAGTCTCATTCTGGCTCTAGTGGCAGAGGACCAGGAGAGAAGAACCAGACATTTTCTTGGACCCAGTCATTAAATGAAGGGAATTAAGTGCATCCACATTCAAGTGTAAGGAGCACACCTTCATTTCAAAGTCCCCTAAAGCCTGTGCTGTATAGGTATACCCAACTTTCAGAAAGCCCTGAAATCTAAGTATTCATTATTGAAGCAAATATATTCAATAATTATCCCATTGATTAGTTTCTATGTTACATTATTTACATTAGCAAAGAGTCTTACCTCAAAAGCTATTCTCTTGGGGATAGTCTTACAATGTTTATCTTTGAGTTTCATTTGTTTTTGTGTGTGTGGAGGGATTGAATTAGAGATAGTCTTTTTGGAATACACTTGATACATAAAGTGATTGATACCTATGAATTGCATTGGTTGTATTCAGGCAAACTCTCTGTGCCAGCTTCTTCTGAGTACTTGCAGTACAGCAAGCAATAAGCACACAGAACCCACATTCATGGAGATGATATTCTTGGACTGGAGCCAAGCAATAATCTCTGACATGAACTAAATGAATGAGATTATCTTTGAGTCACATCTAAGATATAAGAAATATAAAGAAAATAAACAAAGGGAATGGGAATAGAAAGTAAGTGTGTGTGTATGTGGATGTACTCATCTTAGCAGGGAGATGGAATGGTGCTGGGGAGGGACCTGATAACCGGTATCAACTCCTCCTACCCTCAGAGCACCATTTCCTACAAACAGGCCTAGCGTATAAGTTCTACCTTCAACTCTCGTTTATTTTAAAGCAGAGTTTTAAATGAATTTTAATTTTATATGAATCTTAATATCAAAGACATATTTGATGTTAATACATTTTCATCAACTCAACTATTTGATCAAATGATGATCATGTGTTTAGAGAGTTTGTTAATATTATTTATTATTCTCAGATATAAATAGGTTGCTAGGAATTGCTGAAACACTAGTAATGCTTTCACTTCTTTCTTCTGAGAATGTGTGAAGCAGATAAAGTGAAATATTCACTTTTAGAATTTAAGTTACAAATTGGTGAACCATGTCCAAGCAACTTCATTTCCTTTGGTTGAAATAAGAAAGTGTGCATTGAAAGTACTTTAAAGTCAGTTGCAGAAATATTCAGTGACTCTTTCCTGCTCTAGGAAAAGTCAAAAGCACCCGACAAGTCAGGGATGGCTGGAACTTCAGAACTTTGTGTGCATTGCTACACACAGCACCTAATTTAACCCTGTCATTTCTCAATAAATAGAGGCAGAAAATGATGGAGAACAAAGACAGACATACTATTAAGTTCAAATCCCAGCTCTAATAATTCCTTGCTGGAATGGGAGTAATAATACATACCTCAAAATATTGTTGGAAGGGTTAAATGAATCTTTCTGTTTCTCTTATATGCACACAGCATTAGGAAGCATTAATGAAATGCTCAATAAGGTAGAGAAAATGCAGAAATGTTTTTATTAATAACTTACAGCTTAGCATGCTTTTCTGTTTTGCAAGAAATGCATCGCTGGATGGTTGACTGATTAACTCCATAGACTCCGAGCCAGGTAAAAGTTCCTCCCACTGATATTGTCCAAAAAGTGTGTCGCCTGAGAGGGTCTATATCAAAGCTACAAGGCAGAGAGAAGAGAGTGAACAAAGACTTTTTAGGGGATTAGGACATGCAGCTAAATCTTTATAAAAGATGAAAAAGTAGCATTGAACATACTCAATTATGTTTAGTCGAGATCCATTTGCTGATAGCTCTAACACACTGTGAAGTCCACCAACTTGAGCTGATCCTTGAATGAGAACTGTTAAGAAGCCCACAATCATGACAACCATCTGAAATGCATCTGACCACACCACTGCTTTCAGTCCTCCCTGAAATGGAGAGAATGGGTGTGAGTTCTCAACGTGAAGCCTACAATGCTTCCAACTCCATTAATATGATCTATGTGTCCTTCCTTTCTTCTTTCCTCCTCCCTCTCTTCCTTCTTTTTTCTTCCTTCCTTTCTTCTTTTTTTCCTTTCTTTTTTTTCAGCACAGTTGCTCAGCACCTTTTATGTGCCATGTATGATGTTAAGTATGGGATTAAACCAGACAGATTTCTTCCTTAGTTTCTGAATTAACTCCCTTAACTTCCTTGATAATCCAGTGGCAGAAGCAGATACTAGACAATAATATAGCTTTTAACTTAAAATTGTGGAAAGTACAACTTAAGCATATGGCATGGAGTCCTGATCTGGTCTTAAGAAAGTGTCATGGAGGCCTGGCTGGCGTAGCTCAGTGGATTGAGCATGGGCTGCGAACCAAAGTGTTGCAGGTTCGATTCCCAGTCAGGGTACATGCCTGGGTTGCAGGCCATGACCCCCAGTAACTGCACATTGATGTTTCTCTCTCTCTCTCTCTTTCTCTGTCTCCCTCCCTTCCCTCTCTAAAAAAAGAAAAATAGTGTCATGGGAGCCAAGCTCTGAAGAGCAAGAGGGAATTTGCCAGGTCCAGAGAACACAGAGGACAGGGGAGCAGCGAGGAGAAGCAAGGAGAAGCATGGCTGCCTGAGGATGTAAAGGAAAGCTAGACTATACCGACTGAGGGATATGCAGAGTGCCCATAGGGAGGTTGCTGAATTTGCTAGAGACCAGAACACACAGATTATGACAAGGCCACCTAAATGATTTCTTAAGAGCAATAAGAGAGCACAAAACACATTTATGTGATGAAAACTTTGTTCGTTCCACAGTAGTTTCAGTGGTAGTTGGGTGGACAGTAGATTGCAAGGACCATAGCAGAACAGGAGTGGAGAGAGCAACTCAGGGTTTATTTTAGTTGCCCACGTGACAACAGGTTGAAATAAGGCAGAGATTGAAAGGACTTGATGGATTTGAAAGATATTTGGGAGGTAAAATCAACATAGGTTGTGATTAACTGAATATAAGTGAGGGGGAAATGAGGATAATCACCCAGGCCTGGCTTGTGCAACCTGAGATTTCTTTTTGTAAAGCTAGAGACAGTGAATAAATTTTGGAAAGCTGAAATGGTAGAACACTTAGAAGAAGAAAGAACTAGGAAGGTATGATAGATTCTGGGTATTCATGGAAATAGGAGTTTTAAGAGCTACAGGATGGTCAAATAGTGGGTTGAGTGAACCAGAATTTCAGGAAGGTGGAACTAACAGCACAACACAGGGCAATGTGATTGGCAAGAGGTTAGGGAGGTGCTTAGAGTTCCTTGGAGAACCTGAAAGCAAACAAACAAACAAACAAAACAATATCTGAGCCCTTTACCCAAGGATTCTGAATAAACCGAGGTCTGGGGTAGGAATCAGTCCTCAGTGTTTTTTGAAAGTTCCCAAGTGATTCTAATGTACAATTCTAGTTGAGAACATGTGGACAAGAAGAAAAGAGGAAAGAGACTGGTGGAATAACCCAGGTATAAAATCCCGCAGCACCTTGGTGAAGGTGGAATGAGCAAATTGTGAAAGATTAAATGAAGCGATGTACTTAAAAGAGCTTTGAAAATTAATAGCACTGTGAGAATGAAAGGATGTGGTATTTTCAATAATAAAAAATAGAATTATCTTCCCCTGTTACTCCTCCAGAGTGTCAAGAACTTCTGTGAAAAGATGACAGGCTTCACCTTCATCTTCATCTTAAGAAGAAAGATGATATTAGGGTTGTCCCATCATTTCTTTTGAAATTACAATTAAAATACAATTTTAAAATACACTAAAATTCATGCCAGAGGGACCTCATTTGTATATTATGTTAAGATTCTGATTTGAAAAATAGTTAGTTTCTTAACTCCCACTTCCCAAAGAGTAACATTTTGATTTCCTCTAAAGACACTGAAACTTCCAAACTGAAATCTCAACATCAGAGATAGTGATATGAAGACAAACCACTTTATCAAAAGTTCATTAAATGATAGGTTATAACCACCCTGAAAACTGCTCTGACTCTATGATTCCTCCACATAGCAAGACACACACCTACATGCATGTGTGCACACACAACCACATACACACACACCACTAATCAGGATTGTGCCATAGTATCCCTAAGTATTTAATCTATCTGTGCTGTTTGACATCCAGTGTTTACTAGATTGCATACCCCTGAATGGCAAGTGTCACTTCCTATTTCCTTAATCTCTTCCCACCATTTGTTTTAGGCCAGGCAGCCACAGGGTTACCAGTGTAAAGAGTCCGCAGTATGTCCCAGCAAAAGTGTTAGACATAAGCCACCCTTTGGTGAGACATGGGAGCCTCTAACCTGGCTACGGAGCAGAGAGAAGGAACAGGGGTGTGGTGGGAAGGGATTAGATGGGTGGATTTATTCACAGAAAGAAATGTTTCCAGCACTAGGCTAAGAAGCTTATACTTGATCCTGTAAACAATGGGAAGCAAGAAGAGAATTAGTTGCCAAGTGGCTTGAAGAAATGGATGTTTCCAGATTAATCTGTCAGAGGCAGGTAGGGTGGAGGGAAGCACTGAAACCAAATAAGAAGTAATAGAGTTAGTTCATTTTAGCTTATTCTGGTTATTAAAATATCCAGACTTGTTTCTGACATGTTACTTTTGGGTTTCTATTTGTTCTATTTTCTCTATGCTTCCCCTCCCCACCCTCTTTTCTTCTCTTGCTTAAATCAGTTGAAGTTTTCTTTAGTTATTATTTTAATTCCATTTTTTCACTTTGATCATTTCATTTAAATGAGTCCCCATAAAATTTTTAATTTAGAGTCTAAATTTAAGAAATGTCAATTCAAGGCTTATAAAATCTTTAAGTCTGGTTAGTCTCTTTCTGATTTTACACACTACTGTTGTTCAGCAGGTGATTATTCTTTTTCTTAATCCCCAAATTACATGTAATAATAATAATTATAATATTTTTAATATTATAAAATGTTATATGTAATTAGATGTTACATAAATTACACTATACTTTAAAACTATTATCATTAAGTACCAAAAATTGTTTGGCTAGACTTTCTAAATGTTTATTATTTTATTATCTTATTACTTTTTTATATAAAACTTGATAAATTTTTCTCTTCCCACAGCACTTCCTCTAGGTTCTTCTCAAGTGAAGATATTTTAGTGGTAAGTTCTCTTGGTTCTTGAGAGTTAGCTCCTGAAATATTGGTTTGCTAAATACACAATTGTAAGTTGACAATTTTTTTCACTTCAGTGCTTTGAAGGTGTTAATCCACTATTTCTGTCTTTCACTATTGTTGCTAAGAAGTCAGCATTTAGTACCCCTAGCAGTGCTTCTCCTTATCATTGCATGAGCAGGTATGTCAGAGCAACTAATCTCAGATAATGCCAGATGCTTAAGGAACAGGAGCCTATTTTTAACCTGGGGAGGAGCTGTGTGTCTGGAGTAGAATGGTATGGTAGTGGAGATGGAATGGAAACAAGCTAAGATAAAACTTTATAGTGTAAACAAATGGTGGGAATGCAAGTATGAAAAAAAAATAGGGGCATTTTTTAATTATATATTCTCATGATATATATTCAAAAAGTATGTGGTATGCACCTAATGCCAAAACACATGCAGGTCTACTACATGATAACATATCAAGTACTTGATTTCTCTGTAAGAAGGAGGAAAGAAAATCCAATTATCTGGGATCCATTGCCGTATTTCTAACTGGTTACTTATAGCCTTTGGATTGTATATGGTGGCAATGACGCAGGAGAAGAGAGATTCCCATTGCAGAGCATGGCAAATAAGAGGTGCTCCATGAATGTTTGTTGAACTAAACTAATTGTAGCAATTATATAAATATGTTGCCTACACCACCAGGTCCCTTAGTTAAAGACTGAGCATGTGTAAAGCCAAGTCCATAAATAAGAGACAGAAGCAAGCTGTGGAATTCTCAGGTTTACCAAATGCCAGCCATCCCTGATTATTCACATATGCATTTCATATTTCTCAACCATTAGACAGTGAAGTATAAATTCTACTCATGGTGTAGAATCACTATTAATGAGCATTTTTTTTTCCCAGAAGTTGCATTTGGTCACCTAATCCTCTGATCAAGGAGGTATTTTATTCATTAAGTGTTCTCTTAGCTGTGGCTTTCTCAAATGAACTCAGAGCTTAAATTCCACTAATGGTTGATACCAAAAATGGTTTTATATAAAACAACAGCACCTTCCTCAGGAAAGAGTAACAGATAAGCTAGCATACTTGTGTTTAATTTCGGAATAGCTGTTTCTGCTATATTTAGAAGCCCTGCTGCTGGAGATTTGCCCTTATCCTGTATTAGGAGATAGTGCTAAATACTTTTTCACAGCTAGGTACATACCAGAGTACAATAGAATGTGCAAACAATTCCTGTTGCAAACACGGAGCCCCAGAGATCAAACCCAGTCACTGCAAAAGGAGAAAAAATATTGAAAGAAGTTTTTCTGAGAAAAGCAAAAGAGCAAGCTTTACAAGGGAAAACATCAGTATTTTTGTCAGTGTTCTTTGTAGGCAAATGAAAATAAAATTAGAGTTTTTTCTTAAATTTTCTCACTTCTGATAAGATTATTATATTATTATCCATTAACCCAGTTTATACATTTCACATAACGTTAAAAGTCAAATTTTTCCTCCTAAAATTCTGGAGGTTGTGATCTGCACCAAATACTTGTGTTTGTTTATCCTTAACAAAGTTAGTATGAATACTTTGAAACCAATTAAACATCAGCCATGAACTGATATTTCTCAATATAAATAGATACTCTAATTCAATGGAATATTGAGAACTCTCAATCTGATAGGTATCATTATGAAATTTATTTCACTTCTTTTCCCTTTTTGTGTCCAGGATTCTATTCTCTCAAAGGGGTCAAGTATCAATTTTGAAGTAATTACTTCAAGCACATTTTATTTTTGTAGTCAGATTATCAACTTCACGAAAGCACTGAGAAATCACCATTTGTATAGGTGACCTTATTTAGTCATGTGTCTATACCATACCAAACCTGCTGGCATTACAGTGATTACAAAACAAAACAAACAACAATTAAATTGTGTGTGTGGAACCAGGTGAGCAAAACCAATCATTATTTGCAATACTTTCAAGGTTCCATTTTGAGAGCTTTATATCGTGACTCCTACAGTAATTCAGAGCAACCTAAAAACAGGAATGTCTCCCCAAGATTCCTTATGTTTATTTCTCAAGGAGAGAATGCAGGCATAAAAATGGTGGGTGGTACCCAAGGAAATGTGCACAACTCACCTTGATTGAGCGCCAGGGCGGGAGCATACACCACCACTCCTGTGTAGAGAATCTGGTGGAGAAACAAGAATTAGGTGATCACTGAGAAAAATGACACAGAAAGGAAAGCTTCCTAGAAAGTTCTTTATTGACCTTAGAGATATATTTCCTTCACCTTGTTTGCCAAACATTTCATTCCCATCCATTCTCATTTGGAAGTTGGTGACCACTGTAATGAGTTTGCAGAAGGGGTGTAAGGACTAGATGGAGGAATATCTAATAGGGTGGGGTTTTTAAAATGGCTGCATATTTTGAGATTTTATGGCTAGACTTTGTATACTTCCAAAGAATAGAAAACTGAGCTTCAAGTTTTTGATTCTCTCTCTCTCTCCCTCTAGCATACATCGCAATGGCACAAATACGGTTAGCAGTTTGTAAAATATGGATGCTGGATTGAATTTGGAAAGCGTCCATGAGGAGGAAGTAATGTGCAAAGAAGACTACAACTATGTACCAGGTACACCTTGTAACTCCCGGAATGGCAACCACACACTGATGGAAGTGGGTGCAGTTCCATTCTATTTTAAATGAAATTTCACCCTTTAGAGATGCATGTGAGGGTCTAAAAAGGCAAATACCTGTGAACAGGTCAAGGGTGCATTATTTTCCACATTTCGTCTCCCTTAAATCCTTTAGTCCCTGAGTGGAGTTTCGATTAAGAAACAGGAAGACGGTTATCTTTTCGCAGAAAGTGCTTCCTGAGCCGTGGAAATGCACCAACGGGGTGCCCCAGGTAACCTTGAGGTCACATGAAGGTACCGGGAGCCTGGGAGGCAGGGGAGGAGTCCAAAAGGAGAAAGTGGTAGTATTGGTTTGGAAATACTGTCTTCAAATGAGTTTCAACAAAGTGAGTATTTCTGGTTCAACTCAGCTAGTTTAAAAAAAGAAATCAGTTACAAACTGAGAGTAATCAGAGGGGCGAGGGGAGAGGGATAAAGGAGAAAGGAAGGGCAAGGGTTGTCAAGGAACATGTATGAAGGACCCATGGACAAAGACAATGGTGGGGGAGGATTGAATGTGGGAAGTGGGGGTGGGTAGTGTGGAGAAGAGTAATAGGGGGAAAGTGGGGACAACTGTAATTGAACAATTAAAAAACAGAAAAATAAATCGGTTAACAGACCATTTCCTATCTTTATATACAACTTGTACAGATTAATTAAGAGGTGATGTGAATTTTAAGCAAATGCTTTTGTGTGTGTGTGGTTTTGATACACACTTGTTTGTTATTTGTACATACTTGTGGGGCATATGCAACAGGTGACTCTTTATTAATCACATATCTTGAAAGCGCTATCCCTGAAAGAATATAGTTTCTTCTTAGTATGAAGTCTCCCCTTTATTTGGGTTAACTGCCCCCTGAAACACACAAACCTGTGCCTTGTCAGCCCACAATCCCACATCTGCAGCCGCCCTTCTCCTTACCGTCTGCACAATGTAGGTGACTGTTGCTGCATAGCGGACTGGTTTGTTGAATCGCAGCTGTAAGTACTATAGGGAATAAACAACATACAAAAAGTCAGTGTGTTTCACATGGAGCTGCTAAGAAGTTTTCATTTTTTTGTTGTTCCTTTGAATTTAGCACTGGATTTATAATGTGATTTTATGCTATCTACTTGGCAGAATGGGATAAAAGTTTGGACTGTTTAAAGTCAAAAATATACTGAAACTCAATTCTTGCTCAAGCTTCTCATGATGGTCAGGAAACATAAACAGTTGCTTGAAAAAAAATCCAGGTATTCTGGCTTTCTACTCAGGGTTTTTCTACTGGATATACCAAAGCATCATTTCTTTTTATGTTCCCACTGCTCCAAAATTTGCCTCAGGCTTTTATTTTACCTTTCCTAGACTACTGGAGTAGCTCCCTAATCAGTCTCCTGAATTCCAGTCCTTCCACCCATTTTATCAACCACACATCAAGTCATATTGATTCTCCTACATGGAACTCTGTTCATGTCCCTCTTTTTCTCAAAATCTTTAATTATTCTGTATCATGGAAGCTTCATATTCTAAGCCCTTTATTGTCCTACCCATAGTTTTCCCATCTTAAGTCAACCTAGAAAGACAGTATGGAGAAAAAGATACATTTCAAAAAACCTAGATCAGAAATACGCCTCCTTGAATCCTAGTGTGAGCTTTACCACCATCTCACTCTTTGATCTAAGCCTCTGGTTTCTCATCCATGAAATAAGGGAGACTATTCAAACTATGTAATTTTACATCTGGAAGAATGTATTAACTCATTGAGTGTGTTCAGTGGCCACCTTTAGTGCATCTACCACTACTACTACAGTCAACAGACTGTAAAATGAAAAACACAAGTTCAACAGAAAAGCTGCCCTTTTCTGGGCTGCACGGGTAACATTTACCATCATGATGTTAAATTAATTTCAACCCCCCAAGCCTGGTCTAGTCGCCTTCTTTTACACCTCAGGAAATAAATAGCAAGGCCACTTTTCATGTTGGTTCAAGACCAAAGAACACGAAGCCATCCTTTACTCCTCAATTCCTCTCCCTGCTCACATCCAGTCCATCGTTTAATCCTAGAGCTTATACCCCACTTCCACGACATACATATTTACTTGCACCATCTCCTCTGTTGCCACCGTAACACCATTACCCCTTGCCTAGACTATAGCAATAGCTTCCTAATTAGAACCACTGCTTCTGCAGTCAAAATTCTATAATCATTCTCAACATCAATCAGTATGATACTCAAAATACAAACCACATCATGTCATGCCTCTTCCCAAACACTATAATGACCCATCTTACAGAGAGGATGAGCTCATCCTTACAATGACCTAAAAGAAGACTTCATAACATGGGTTCAGATCCTATCAGGCCCTAAATATCTATTTCACAACAAACATTTTGTAACATCACTTACTGTGCTAAAATAAGATTCAATAATGATATATTATACCTATACATCTAATTTCTCAAAATTTAAATATAACTGCTATGATATCACAAATGTAATTTAAAGGAGAAATAAAAGGAAAGAAATTTACTTAAAAAAGTAGTCTATAATGCTTAAAACCACTATGAAAGAGGATATACAGAAAAAATATTCCATGCAATTATAATGAAAAATTGAATTAAAGAGAAGTAAGAAGTTTAGAAGCCATTTCGTTGCACAAGTCCAACAAAAGTGAGAAAGCAGGTAGACACTAGCCTCTAAACTAGTGATAAGGGTAAATAATAATCTGAATTTATTAGTGTATAATTAAAAATATAACATCAACTGAAGTAGAAACAGCATGATGAGACAAATTATATTTTTAAAGATTTTATTTATTTATTTTTAGAGACAGGGGAAGGGAGGGAGAAAGAAAGGGAGAGAAATACCAGTGTGTGATTGCCTCTCTCTTGCCCCCTACTAGGGACCTTGCCCACAACCCAGGCATGTGCCCTGACTGGCAATCGAACCAGTGACCCTTTGCTTCACTGTCCAGCACTCAGTCCACTGAGCCACACCAGCCAGACCAAGACTATTTATAAACTAAGGGAAGATAATGCAAATGTATGATATTGGAAATGAGCTGAGCCTAATTTATACCTTGAGGGTGAGAACAATTCCGTATGTTTTGACATGGGACAGAATAGTGACAAAGTAGTACAGATGACATATTTTAGTCTTGAAATCCCACTGTTATTGCTGTGTAATACCCACCTCAATGCTCATGGGCTTAAAAATCAAGGATGTGTTATTTCTCCTAATTTTGAAGATCAGCTGGGTGATTCCTCTACTTGTTCCCCCTGGGTTTTCAAGGAAGTGTCAGCTGGATGAGAAAATCCAAGATGGCCTCACTAACTCATCCGGTAGTTGGTGACGGCTGTTGGCTACAGTGTCTTTACTTCCCTTTATGTTTCAACTCATACTCCAGAAGCTAGACCAGCTGCAACAGCTCCCTGACACAGCAGTATCAGTACAGCATTCCAAGAAAGCAAAGGCAGAAGCTATGAGCCTAATGATGCCTAAACTCCACGCATCACTTCTGCCACATTCTGTTGGTCAAAAAAAAAAAAAAATCACAAGCTCTGTCCAGGTTCAAGGGTTGTGGAAATAGACTCTACTCCCTTTGGTTTTTAGGACTTAAAAAGATCCCAGAAAGAAGATTTATGGGTAGGGAACAGGGAATGAAAGATGAACAAAGAAACAGATTCAAGCATCAGTAGATAGATAATAATAATAATAATAATAATACAAAACTCTTAGGTCAGATTTACTGTTTGCCAGACTGTATTAAAAGTATTTGCATATGAATGTCAACATTAATTGAAAAATAAAAAATAATAAAAATTATTTGCATACGATACCACATTAATCTGCAGAGACATCCTTTGAGATAAGTGATTTTATTATCACTCTTTTACATATGTAAGAATTAACTACAGAGAAGTTAAGCAATTTTCCCAAAGTCACGCAGCTAGCAAGTGGCCGAACTAGTATCCAAAGCCAAATAGACTGACTCTACAGTCCATACTTTTAACCCCTAAGCCACACTGCCAAATCTTACAGAGTAAAAGGCAATCTCAAAATAACCTCATATGTGCTTTACATGTAACCTTGATTTCTTATTATTAAGATATGGAAAATTTTTAAATATGTGGAGGACAATAAACTTTGTAAATTAAATTCATACAATATAATCCTGTAGGCATTCCCACAAATAGATATATTTTTAAACAAGAGGTAATTAATTTCTTCAACCCATGTTTGTCCCATGGAGGCCCTGATACTGTAAATGTTTTTTTTTTCATTTCTGCACTAATTTAATAATTAAAACAGAGTTTCAAATCTCCTCAGTTTCATATTTGGTTCAATGCTTTATCTCCAAAGGTGTGCCTAGAATACAGTAGATGCTTAGTGGATATTTGTTGAAGGGATGTTTAGTGGTACAAATGATTTTCACATTTGGGTATGTTTTAATAATTAAAAAGTTTTTTAACACTTCACAAAAGCTTCATAAAATATGGCAGTTATTTTCTACATGGAAACTAGAGTTGATGAGAGCTAACTAATGCACAAAGTGACCCTGCTGTTAAGCAATGGATTAGACATTGAACTTGTATTTTCTGAATCTAAGTCTCTCTCTCTCTCTCTCTCTCTCTCACACACACACACACACACACAAGCAATTCTTTTTAAAATGCTAGCAATGCCTTTGGGAGTCCAAATTTAATAGATGAATGAAAAAAAACTAGAATATATTTGTATTTTCAGAAGTACTTTAATGAGCAATGAGTGTATCTGTACATATATTTTAAGACTAAGTATAAATTTAGTCATTCTTTCTTGAATCTATATCCTAGGTAGTAACTGTTGTATGACCTAATCCTTATTTCCTTTTTTGGGTAGGGGAGAGAAGGTTAATGTTGAATTTTAGGGATATCAACTGTGGAATCAAAATTTTAAAACCTTCTAGAAAGTGTACAATTGCCTGAATGGCTTTGAGGTCTAGAGTAATCCTTTACAATCATTTAGCTTACAGAAAGAAAAGAAAGAAAAAGGTCTGTTAAGAGTTCTCTGCTGGGACTAAGGATAAAGTTTGATAAGGAAAATAAATACCTTTTTCATGGAAACCGATTATTAGTCACACTTAAATATTGGACATGCATATTCAATGATTTAACTTGATCTTTTTCTTGAGAATTATTGCAACATCAAAACATAACTACCTCATTTTCCTTCCATTAAAATAATGGAAGGAAAATTCCCCTCCATGTGTGTTTTATTTAGCAATCCATTCCTATTAAAATAGTTTTTAATTTTTTAAAAACATTACTATTTCCCCATTAATAACTGGAGCACAGTGATTATTTGTATTGGAGTGCTCAGCTGTACTCTCTAATGGAAAGAGATACAGACAAAGTAGGTTCTCAGTAAGCTTTACTCACTATACGATCTTGACTGAATCATTCATCTGTACTATCTCTGTTTTTAGCTAGAAAATGACAAATTCATGGCATATGTCCTGCATGCTTTTCAGAATGATGTTAATAATCATACAAATAATAACTTTAGCTCTCTTTCATTGAGAATCTCTTACAAGTTAGGCAATGCCTTGGGTGTTTATATATGGGTTCTCATTATATCCCTGAAATAGCTTCATGATGTTGACTCCATATTGTTCTACAGATGAAAGAATAGGTGTGTTTGTATCCAAAGCTTAAACTTGTCCCAATAATATTGTAATATCTTTTCTTGAAAATGAGTGAATATTCTTCAATTTCCACATGTTACCATTAAGAGGACATGTATTATTACAGAAAAAAGAAGCAAGAATAAAAAAATATTGTTCAAGTGGAGATAGAACCAATTCCTCCCAAAATAGAGAACAGGGTAATAGCGGTCTTACCTCATAAGTGCTGGTGATACCAGATCGGTAGAACACAGGCAGAAAGAGCTCTGATGTGAAGATGATGACAAAAGTATAGGCAATGGCGAAAAGCCCAAAGGAGGCCCCAAAGCGGTAGACATCGGAAGGGGTGCCCAGGACAGTGACAGCTGACATGAAGCTGGCTGTCAGAGACAGTGCCACAGGACCAAAGGTCATTTGTCTTCCCCCCACCAGGAACTCCTTTGCCATTGCCTTCTTTCTCTCCTTGACAGCAAAGAACACTCCGATTCCAGAAGAAACAATAAAGAGGGCTGCAAATACGAGATAATCCCAAACCTTAAAGTTCTTCACCTCCATGCTGGGAAGTATGGCACCAGAGAACTGCTTTCAACCAGGTCCCAGGGAAAAGTTGGTTCCAAATGCAAAGCTCAGTACAGCAGATGTTTTTCCCAGAGAGCAGACTGATTCTGTGAAGAGAATGATGACCAGAGGCACTTTATGGATCTTCAAACACCACGTTGTGCTCAGAGAAGATCTGAAAAGTTGGCTACAGAGAGGAATCTGGTAACAGTATTGATACCAACAGATGAGAAATTGAAATTTGACCCTGACCAGGAACTATCTGTTCCTTTACTTAAGCATATGCCACAGAGAAGGAATTCAGATGTGTTCTGAAATTAATAACAAACTGGGGGAGGGTGCATGTGGAATGGACTTGCCAGATAACATGCCCTTTTATCTCCAGATTTTTTTAAACTTAAGGTTAAACATTACTGGGAAACAGAGGTGATACAAGTTGACCACCTCAGCATTCTGAATTTGTGAAATGGAATCTGTAAAATGCAAACACAGCCCCCTCAGTGGCATCTTTCTCCTGAGTAAGGAAAGGCGGGGGGTGTGAACTTGCAGTTGCCTGAGACAGTGAGTATGGAGGGAAAGGAGCAAAGAACTAGGAAACAGGCCCTTGTTCAAGTTGGCTCAACCTTCAACTGAGCTGTGATATTGTTGACAAACCACTTAGCTTTTCTGAGATTCATAAACAAAGGAATAATCATCTTATAGGGTTATCATGAGTCTTTAAGGGTCTCAAACTTCCTGACTTCTTTTATCTGATCTTTAAAATGAAAGACAATAATATTTAGCTTATTGGCTATTATTTATGCTTACAGGGGAGTACATTGAACTTAGCAGTTGATTCTCTCCTGACACTAGGCCTCAAAAAGTGGACTTGTCAAAAATGAATAAATTGTTTGTAGTCCTTGGCTTTATCTTTTCCATCTCCCCTTTATTTTGACCGTTTTATAATGTTTCTATCCAGAGGCTTAGTTAGAATTAAGACCAGGACAAATGAGAGAAGAAAGGTGAAAATCCAGTTGTAAATTCTTGTTTCTGCCCTTATTAGATTCTGTCAGTTGTTCTGAAGTATCTCCAGCAAGGTTTTGGTGGCAATTTCTCAATGCTGTTTGTGCTTCTCTTCCTTCTCTAAGGTTTTTCGCAACCCCACCTCAACAAAGCACAAGATCCAGTTCCTGAGTTCCTTGGAGCCTTTCCTGACTCACGTTTCTTGCTCCCTCACCCCAACTCTGCTCCTGTAGGATTCAGTCTCCCTTGGGACTTTGTTATTTGCAAGTGCCCCTGTCAATTTTAAAGAATATAGCTGTGTGAATTGGTCAGCTGGTATAAAGGCACAAGTCCTGGTTGATAGAGCCCAGTGAATAGTAGCTATTGTAGAAAATAAAGAAATAATCTTAAAAGCAAAAGAAGAAAACAAAACTTATCCATAATTCCCAAGGCCAAACATTTCCTATCAGAAATAAGAAACTCTAATTTTGTTTTTGACATTCAGGTAACCGAATAAATCTTCTAGTGGTTGTGTAGCATAGACACTGTCTTCATTCCTGACTTTCCTTCATGAATTTGAATTCAGCACAGAAAGCTTCGATGGCTGAAATAGGCTGTTAGTTACAGATAAAAATGCAAAATCTCTGCCAAGAGCTGTCTGCGACCTGTTTCTCAAATCCCTTCTCTAAGTTTGTAGAGTTGATATGATCAGTGTTAACAGAAAAGGTCTTTAACATTTTCACCTTAGCCTAAGGTTTTAATCATTTTTATCATGAGGTATTCTAATTATATAACAGGTTTTTGTTTGTAATAGTCTCAGCAGAAACTCTGAACTCTGGCTTCCAGAAGCTTGACTACTTAATATACCACCTAAGAATTAATATTAAATCCACAAGGCATATAAACAACTTGTACAAGTCAGATGACTATTAATTCAAAACACTATTATTATATCTGTGATGTTCAAAGGTTAAATACCAAAAGCTTATAGTTGCAGAATCAATGAATACTGCTGGTCTTATTTTTTTTATTGAACTTATTAGGGTGACATTTATTTAAAAATTATATGATTTCATACATACAATTCTATAGGACATTGTCTGTATATTGTACTGTAGGTTCACCACTCCAAATCAAGTTTCCTTCCATCACCACTTACCCTCCTTTTACCCTCTCCTATCTCCCCTCACCCCCATTTCCCTCTGGTAATCACCATTCTGCAGTCTGTCTATAAGGGTTTTTTTAATCCCCTCACCTTTTTCATGGTACTCCCCTCCCCTCCTGCTTCCCTCTGAGAGCTGTCAGTCTGTTCTCTGTATCTATGAGTTTGTTTCTATTTGTTAGTTTATTTTGTTCATTAGACTCCACATATAAATGAAACACCCTGGCTGATGTGGCTCAGTGGATTGAGTGCCAACCTGTGAACCAAGGGGTCATGGTTTGATTCCCAATCAGGTCACATGCCTGGGTTGGGGGCCAGGTCCCCAGTAGGGAGTGCTTGAGAGGCAACCACACATTGATCTTTTTCTCCCTCTCTTTCTCCCCCTCTTTCCCACTCTCTAAAAATAAGTATATAAAATCTTAAAAAATAAAGATTCCACATATAAGTGAAATCAGATGGTATTTGTCTTTTCTTTGACTAGCTTATTTCATGTAGCATAATACTCTCCAGGTCCATGCATGCTGTTGCAAAAAGTAAGAGTGCATTCTCTGTTTAAAGCCAAGTAGTATTCCACTGTGTAAATGTACGACCGCTTTTTAATCCACTAATCTACTGAAGGGAACTTGGGCTGCTTCTGAATCTTGGCCATTGTAAATAACCCTATTTGCTGCAGTGACACAAGTGTGCATGTATTCTTTCAAATTAGTGTTTCAGGTTTCTTTAGATATATTACTAGTAGTGGAATCACTTGATCACAAGGAAGTTCCATTTTTAATTTTTTGAGGTAACTCCATACAGCCTTCCACAGTGGCTATACCAGTCTATATTCCCATCAACCGATGCAGACCCCGCTCCTGGGGTCCGAGTCATTATCGATAAAATGAGATGTTCACACGGATTAGCAAATGTGGTGGAGGAAAAGGGATGGCATGGTTTTTCTCTCAAGGGGAGCAAAAAGCCTCAGCCTCCACCATGACAGGCCCTTATTGGGTTTCTCCACCCATTACAAGATGGTCCTCATTTACTATGTACAGATTTGCTTCAGGCGGTTACCTTTTACAGAAAACAAAGGAGCCAATGCTGCTAATCATGTAACAGAAGAGGGCTATTTGCAAATGAAAAGGCAAAAGTAGTTGGACCAGTTACACTCATCCTTGGAAAGTTTAGCATGGTTTTTAGGAAGTTGCTTTGCAGTAAATATCCTCAATTCAGGGTGAGGGAGTTTTAGCAAAAAAACAAGACTCATAGTGGCCTAGGTACATTGCAGGCCTGATTCCCCACTGGAGAACCTATCTGTGGGCGTGGGTCCTGTGCATCTCCCAGTGGGAGCTGGGTCTACGCCACACAGGATGGTCTACTACAACCAACAGTGCACAAGGATTTCCTCCTCCACACGTGCTTGCCAACACTTGCGATTTGTTGATTTATTGATGATAGTCATTCTGACTGGTGTGAGTTGATGTTTCATTGTGCTTTTAATACGCACTTCTCTGATAATTAGTGATGTTGAGCATCTTTTCATGTGTCTATTGGTCATTTGTATGTCCTTTTTTGGAGAATGTGTATTCAAGTCCTTTGCCCATTCTTTAATGGGATTGTATGGTTTTTGGTGTTGAGTTTTATAGGTTCTTCATAAATTTTGCATAGTAACCCCTTATCAGCAGATATGTTCTCCCATTCAGTGGGTTGTCTTCTTATTTTGTTAATGGTTTCCTTTGCTGTACAAAACCTTTTCAGTTTGATGTAGTCCCATTTGTTTATTTTTCTTGTGTTTCCCTTGCCTGAGGAGATATATTAGAAAAATATTGCTACAAGCAATGTCCAAGGCTATACTGCTTATGTTTTCTTCTAGAATTTTTGTGGTTTTGGGTTAAATATTTAAGTCTTTAACCTACTTTGAATTTATGGTTGTGTGTGGCATAGAAGGTGGTCTAGTTTCATTTGTCTGCACATATATGTGTTCAATTTTCAAAAGACTATTTATTGAATAGACTGTCTTTAGCCCAGGGCATGTGCTTGCTTCCTTTGTCAAATATTAATTAAATATAAAGTTGTGGGTTTATTTCTGAGTTCTCTATTCTATTTCATTGATCTACATGTCTGTTTTATGCCAGTACCATCTGTTCTGATTATTATGGCTTTATAGTATAGTTTGATATTAAGTGGACTGATGCCTACAACTTTGTTCTTTCTTAAGATTGCTATTGCTATTTGGGGAGTTTTGTGGTTCCACAGATTGCGTTGGGTAGTATAGACATTTTAATGTTGTCAATCTTCCTATCCATGAACATGGTATGTGCTTCTAATTATTTCTATCTTCTTCAATTTACTTCAGTGTACTATAATTTTATGAGTACAGGTCTTATACATCCTCGGTTAGATTTATTCCTATGTATTTTATTCTTTTTGAAACATTGTGAACAGGATTGTTTTCTTAATTTCCCTTTCCAATAGTTCATTATCAGCATTTAAAAGTGCAACTGGTGTCTGGATATTAATTTCATATCTTTACTGAATTTATTTATCAGTGCTTGTAGTTTCTTAGTGGAATCTTTGGGGTTCTCATGGACAGTATTGTGTCATCTACAAATAATGACAGAGTTACTTCTTCCTTTTTAGCTTGGGTGTGTTGTATTTCTTCTTGTCAGATTTCTATGACTAGAACTTTCAGTACTACACTGAATAAGAAAGGTGAAAGCCAATATCCCTGTTTTGTTCCCAAAATTAAGGGGAACAGTTATAGTTTTTGCCCATTGAGTATGATGCTGGCAGTGGGTTTGTCATATATGGCTTTTATTATGTTTGGGTATGTTCCCTTTATTTCCACTTTGCTAGAATTTTTATCATAAATGGGCCCTGAATTTTATTAAATGCTTTTTCTGCATCTCTTGATATGCTGTATGGTTTTTATCCTACATTTTGTTCATGTGATGTATTACATTTATTGATTTGCAAATGTTGTATCAACCTTGCATTCCTGTAATAAATCCCACTTGATCATGGTGTATGATCTTTTTGTTATATTGCTATATTTGGTTTGTTAATATTTTGTTGAGGATTTTAGTATTTACATTCATCAGGGATATTGGCCTATAATTTTCTTTTTTGTAGTGTGTTATCTGATTTTGAATTTAGGATAATGCTGGCCTCATAAAATGAACTTGGGATGAGTTTTATCCCAAGTTTGAATTACCTCCTTTTGAATT